CCCATGGTAAGTAGGATGTTGATACTTTATAATATGATAGATTACTCTTTCCTTTGTCAAATTGAATATTATGGATATTATATTTCACTATAGAGAATATAAAACTTTTGTTCCATTGGGTCTTTTAACATCATTGTTGCATTGCTTGTTGCACCTTTTCTGTGTCACTTTCCTTGCTTAAAATTTCACTTTGACCTATCTAGCATTTGAATTTCCATTTTGATATGCAATATGCTGTTTATGCCTTTTCAGGTGATGAACGAAGGGCCTGAAAACATGGAAAAACAGCTGGAGTGGTGTAATGAAGCGCCTTTCTACACTCTGGGACCTTTAACAACTGATATTGCTCCTGGATATGATCATATCACGTCAGCCATTGGTGCTGCCAATATTGGAGCTCTTGGTACTGCGCTCCTCTGTTATGTAACGCCAAAAGAACTCCTTGGTTTGCCTAATCGAGATGACGTGAAAGCTGGGGCCATTGCATATAAGATAGCTGCTCATGCAGCTGACTTGGCGAAAGGTCACCCACATGCTCAAGCCTGGGATGATGCGCTAAGCAAGGCAAGATTTGAGTTCCGATGGATGGACCAATTTGCTCTAGCGTTGGACCCCATGACTGCAATGTCCTTCCATGATGAAACCTTGCCAGCAGATGGTGCCAAAGTGGCACACTTTTGCTCTATGTGTGGGCCCAAGTTCTGTTCTATGAAGATGACAGAAAATGTGCGGAAGTATGCTGAGGAGCATGGTTATGGTAGTGCTGAGGAAGCTGTGCAGCTGGGATGGATGGTATGAGTGCTGAATTTCTGGCTGCAAAGAAAACTGTCGGTGGGGAACAACATGGCGAGATTGGTGGAGAAATCTACTTGCCAGCAAATCAAACAAATCCTTGAAGAGTTAAAGGTCAGTATTAGTTGATTTCATGTTCATGGAATGCCAGCATCATGACTTCCATGACATATGTGTCTAAGAAACAAATTCACTCAACTAATTTGGTGTCATATCTATAATAAGAGAGAGGGAAGGAGGGACGGGTTTTTTTTTATACTTGAAAAGTTAAAAGGAGTGGCGTACCTAAATTCTTTACATTATTGGGAACGAAGCTGGAAACGTGAAAATTTGGTGAAGAACCTTGAGAGTTTTGCCTTTAACAAGTCTCAATTGATTGATCTGAACAATGTGGATTAGTTGTCAGTGCATGCATAATCCTTGTATCTTAGACACGTATTCTTTACATTGTCAGTGCATGTATAATCCTTTTACCTAGATTCTACTTGTATATTCCTAAAGCTGACACTGATAGGTGCTGCCACTTCCGTGGTACCTTAAGGAAACCTGTTTTTTTTTTTTTTTTGGAAAGGTTACCTAAAGGAAACCTTATTTCCTTTTCATAAATCCTTTTGTATATAAATGTTGAACTAGAAGCCCCAGCAGGCAGAATTATCTGGCATGGAAAATCGTAATGCATTTTGTTATCCCTGTCCAGCTATAGGCATCTAGGTCTCTTAATTTTTACATTTATCACCTTGTCTTGATTTTCTTACATCTATCCAATTGGGTTATCTTATAGGACTTTTTTGCAGGATATATGGATATGGAGAATGAGTTTGGAATTTCTTGGACTGTTGGCACATCATTAGTCAGTCAAGAATGGAGTTCTGCAATCTTCATTTTGTAAGTACCGAATTTTAGCTTATTTAATAGCTCGAGACTAATATGTCTTTAATCTGCTCGTTTTGGAGCACCTTTGTAATAATAATATAAAAAAAATTATTGTATTAGCTCGAGACATATTAGCTCGAGACTAATATGTCTCTAATAGAATTTTCGTAATTCTCAGTGACCAACTCTAAAGTTAATATTTGGGGTTCTAACCTTGATCCCAATCCATAAAATTATTGTATGAATGTGGCAGGAGAACTTTTCATCGGCACCCGAACTCGTGCCGTGGGTAAATCAGAGAGCTTACCCGAGTAGTCAGCTCTCAAGACTATAGAAGAAGATTGAGAAATTATAGATGACAGAATATATAGCAACGTGTTCTCTCTCACTTGAACCTTGTTTGCTGTGAAATCTATCCCTATTCCATTCTCTGGTAGACATTAATGTACAATCTTAGAAGTTCTCTCTCTTCCAGATCGCCATGGTCAATATCACAGGGTGCAAATTACACAAAGACCAACACACCAACTCATACGACCATAGAAACTATAGTGTCAATTGTCCACTTTTTTTTAGCATTCATAAAATATATTCCCATTGTGACTTTTTTGTGGTTTAGCAAATAATCACTGGGGGGATCATTGGCTTGTCTTAGGTTGTATAACATCTCCAGATAGGAGTGAGGATTTGAGAGTGAGGATTTGAGCTTTGTAGGGTGTGAATACTTATGTGGCTAAAATAATAATAATAATAATAATTTTAGTAAGTTAATGTCATTTTATGATATGTTCTACGTTTAAATATGGCCCAAACTAATAATATACTTATACCAGGTTATTGTAGCGGAGGCATCACATATGTAAGTTCCATTTTTTTGAAACCCTTGCATTTATGCCTCTGGTTTCTCTCTCTTCTAGCGCAGCCCAGTATCTTTTAAGGGTATCAACTTTAGGAGAATGTGAATAGCGGAAGCGGAGTTATGTTCTCATCCATAGAAAATGTGGAGCGACGAAGAGTACCAATATAATCATCTTCCTATGTGCATATCAATACATATATTATGCGTTAAAAAAACGAAAAAAAAAAAAAAAACCTGAAACCTTTCTATCTTGCAAGGTGGTAAAATACAAACTGACAATTTCAGGAAGATGGCATTATTTTAAAGTTATTACTTAAAAACAAGATTTATGAGCTCAATAATTTTTTAAGAGCAATAAAAAGTTAAATAAATTATTTAATAATTCTTTTCAACTTTGTAGTCAAACGTGAATAATTCATAGCCAAGTATACTAAATATACCACTTCTGCAATTCACAAATATATGTTTGATTATAACTCTTTATTAATAACATTAGCACCTAATAATTAAGTGTAATAATAGTCCAGTGATATCCCCAGAACATACAAATATGTTATATGTGAGTGTTGGTCAACGAGAGAAAAGTATTAAGAGTGAAATTAACCCGTAGGTCATAGAAAGTGTGTGAAGGTATGGGAGTCTAATTTAAACTTCTTGTTATTTTTTTGGGATTTTTACGTATAAATGTATTTATGGCGCTACATTTACAGTATTATGTAGTCAAATTACCATAGTTTCAAAAAAATGTAGTTGACCAAATTAATGATGTGGACATGAACTTTCACTGTTCACAATAATTTGTTACCCAAAATGACCTTTCACTTTTTGAATCAAATAACCCTATTGCCCCTTATTTCTTTTCCGGCACAAAATATACCCTAATTGCAGCCGCAAAAATACACATCAAACATAGCCGATTTACTTCAATACCCGATCACTAAATTCCACCGCCATCGGTAAGCTCTCCGCTCGGCAATCCAATCGCCACCCAGAATCTATACCCGTAAACCACCGAATAGACCGAGCTCGTAACCAGAATCGCTAGAATTTGAAACGATTGAGAGAATTCGAGCCAGAGCAAGAAAGGTCATGAAAATCTGAATTGCTTGACTGAAGAGTTGGAAAGAGAGTTTCCGTCGCCGGAGGACGGTGAAGTAGGGTCCAGAAAGTGTGGAGGAATCGGGAGAGGTAGAAGATGTAGGACCAGAAGAAGACCCGACCTGAGGAGCAGGTGCCGAGGGGGAAGCAGAGGAGCCATTGGAAGGGGGTCTTGGAGAGGCGCCAGAACCACCGAGTGCCGCGGATCTCGGCGGCGGCAGAGAGGAGGATGTCGGCGAAGGTTGTGGCTGAGATGATGGCCATGGAGAGGCTGTGGAGAGCCAGGACGGGTCTGAGGGGAACGGGTCGGGTGCGGCGGAGGATGAGGAGGAGATGGAGGAGGGAGAGGATGATGTGGAGGGAGATGGAGGTGAAGAAGGACCACGTGGAGCCCCAAGATTGGGAGTGGCTCCAACGGAAGTTGACGATGGATGGGTGCTCCGATAAGAAATAGGTGAGGCTCTGTATCATCGTTAACTGTGTGGTGGTGGTGTTCATTCCCATCACCGCCAGATGGGAATGAACAGACGGCGGAGATGTGTCCTCATGTTATTTTTTTTGAAAGAAATAGAAAACAGAGCAGCTTAAACAAGACCCTATTATTTTCGGTGTTTATACGTCGACAGTGGTGGTTTAGTTTGTTTGTTCTCGGGAGAGAGAGATGGTGAACTGTGAAAGGTATTAGTGCCTGAAAAGAAACAGGGGCAGTAGGGTAATTTGGTTCAAAAAGTAAAAGGTCATTTTGGGCAACAAAATAAATGAACAGTAAAAATTCATGTCCATGTCATTAATTTGGTCAATTACATTTTTTTGAAACTATGGTACTTTGATTACATAATACTGTAAATACAATCCCATAAATATATTTATACGTTAAAAATCCCTTTTTTTTAATACTTATATAATTTTTTTTTTTTTAAAAAAAAAAAATTCAGAATATCATAAATTCATAAGTAATTAAAATGAAAATAGCGGATGTCTGGATTAATTGCGATTATTTGATTGTCCTCAAACCAAAGACATAAATTTCACGAGATTCATCTCACCTGACAACTGTGGATGTTAAAGTTATCACTATAGTCGCCGAGTTAGTGAAAGGAATGAAGGGGTTGTATTTGAAAGTGAAGCCAAGATGGGGTACTTAATCGCAATTTATTAGGGGAGGTTCTTGTAATTATGAGAAAAGTCAGGAAGATGATAACGAAATATTGCGCTGCTCGGTCACCGACATACCACGCCCCTGGTTTTCAACACATCCCTTGTTTACTTGTCGCGATCTCTCTATACATACACACAGATATACATATATATATATATATATATGCATATATGTACATACATATACATATATAGATAGATATTATCAAAGATTTTTGTTTTCGCTTTCAAGAATTGTTATAATAAAGGGGAAGTAAATGGAGTGACTGAAGATGGGAGAGGAAGAGAAAGAGAAGACGCAGATATATCACGAGAGGCAAAAATTGCAATTCTGCCTCTTGCACTCACTCAACAATCTTTTCCAGGTACCTATTGCTTCCCTTTACACAATACACACACATATGTATCTTTTACTTATGTTTTGAAATCTTTTGTTTCATAAATTAATCAATCTCAAAACCCTTTTTTTTTCATGAGTTTCTCAAATTCCATTAATTGCTGATTTTTTTTGGAAAAGGAGTGAAAAGTATATTTTTAACCCATTGAATATTTAGGTCTTCCTGAAATTTATCCTAGAAAACACAAAACAGTTACCTAGTTGTATCTCTTAATTTTTATTTCGTTTTCTGGCATTGAATTATACTATATATATGGACTTATATATGGACTTTGTTCAAATGAATTATGTTTCTTTTAATTTCTGTTTTGAGAATTTTCTATAAATTTTTAGTAAGAAGTTTTTTGTAATTTAGGACAAGGACGCATTCACTCGTGAATTTTTGAATGCCACTGCTGAAAGACTCGTTCTCGATGATCCAAACAATGCAACCTGGACACCTTTATCTGTTATCTTCAAGCCTCATCATAATGCACTTACAGGGAACTATGATATAAATGTTCTAATTGCAGCACTTAAAGGAAAAGGTAAAAGGGTAGTATGGCATGATCGGCGTAATGGAGCTTCGGGCATTGATCTTGATGGGCCTGATGATAAACTAATGGGTATTGTGCTGAACATTCGAGTGAGAAAGTACGGTGGGATGTGGAGAAGTAGGCATTGGGTTGCTTTGAGAAGGATCCATGGGGTTTGGTATAATTTGGATAGTGATTTTACTGGTCCTTATGCTTTTAAAGATACAGAAGAAGTTAGGGTGTGTTTGGATAGACGGGGAGAAAAGAAAAAAAAGGATAGTATTAGTTACGGGAGAAAAGAAAAGAAAAAAAATGCTAGTAATAATTTCTATTTGTATTTGGATAGATAGGGGAGAAAATAAAAGAAATGATAATTATTCTTGTTTGGATAAGATAGATGGGAGAAAAGAAAAGAAAGGATAGTAGACAAATTATTTTTTTACCTTTTCATAACCATAGGACTTGAATGGAATAATAAATCTGTATATTGATTTGTAGAGGCTAATTTTGGTATTATCAAAATACCACTTTAAATCACTATGCTTTCTCTCCCTTTCTCTCCCTATGTTCTCAAAATTGGAGAGAAAGCAAATAAGAGATGAGGGATAGCTCCTTATCTCTCCCTATCCCTCCACTTAACTTACCCAAACACAAACTTACACTATCCTCTATTTTCTTTTCTCTCCCTATCCCTCCAAATCAACCCTACCAAACACACCCTTAGGGAGTTCTTGGAGTACATCATTTCGGGTGGCGCAGAGGTTTTGCTTGTCATGAATGATGAACAGTGAGGTTTCTTTTTTAGGTTGTGGCTGCCTTAGGACTTCTAGGTACGCATATTTCCAAGCTAGCAATTGTATCATACCAGTTTGCGAAGCAACTTCATTACAGAATTTAGTTTCTTTTGAATGTTCTCTTTTTAAGGTGAATGATGGATGCTGATTTTGAGCTTTCGGTTTGACCTGATTACAGTTTACCGTGAGTATATGAATTTGACTTGCATTTGAATTTTGTAAGTCATGCTTTCTGATGATATGTAAAATAAGAGATACTCCATTGCAAGCTAATTGTTGATCGACCATAATTCTTGTATGCTAATGTAACGTTACAGGTTTTTCCGATTTTCTAATTTTTAGAATTTATTTGATTTTTCTGGACTCGGGTATTTCTTCCAGTTATTCTCATCCTAGGTGAGGGGTGTTATTGACATTTCACATGGGTGTGTGTATTTATATACATGTATGTATGTTGTATTAATGGTATTATATGGAGGGTGGTATTTTATGGCAAGGTTGAGGTTATAAAGAAGTTCAAGGTGCATTTTCGTCATTTTAGCTTCATGGAGTAGTCTAGAAAATTCTAGAGACCAAAAGAGTGTCTCCATTTGGCCCATTCCTTTTCTTTTTCCTTCATTCTTCGGACCACCCACTACAAGCTCTCTTCCTCTATTTTCTTTCCTCTTTATATTGTTCTCCTTTCTCTCTAAAATTTCTTCATGCTAGAAGAAGATTTGGGTTAAGCCGGAGTTAACAAATTATAGATAATTGCAAGGGTTACGTTTTGGTACCGGTATTGTAAGCTTTTGGTGGGATTTGAGTTTGGAGTTTGGAGCTTGAGTTGCTATCTTGAGGTAGGGAAAGTTTAACTTACAATTCCTATGATTTTAGTGAGTTCTATGTATTTTTTTTACATGATTACTTTGATGTTGTGAAACATGCTTAGTGTGTAAATTTTGATTGTGATAATAAGCATGAGATGGTGTTGATTTAATTGTTGTGGGTTGAGATTATGATGGTTTCTTATATTTGTGTCAAGCATGCAAATTTCTCTATATGAAATTGTGAAAATATAACTTATGTGTTTAATCCTTATGTTTGGATGTTTTAATATAACAATGATGTAAATCATGACTTGTATGTTGAAGAACGGTAGCATGTTATGCGTAAGCTTGGTATGGGGTAAGTTGAGAGGATGAAGGTTTTATGTGGGAGAGAAGGTTGAGAAGTGAAGTTATGATTTGTGTTGTGAGATAAGGTGAAGTTATGAAGATTTTGGTGAGCTTGGGTTGCAAAGGAAGAATGGGGCAATTATATTTTTGTACGTGTGATGGAATGGTTTGTGAACTCATAAAATTGGTGTATGATTGTTATGCTTCATAACCCCATGATCCATTTTCTTTGATTCCTATTCTTTGGTTGTGGCTCACGGGATTTTTAGGACTGTATTTTAGGCTTACTCTACTGAGCTGTTGAGCTCACCCTATCAACATTAAAATTTTCGGGAATGCGGAGACGAGCCGGTAATTGATGTGCATCCATGGATATTGATGTATTTAGGAATTCACTTCCATTTTGTTTATATTGAAGTTTTGTAAATATTGGCCATGGAGGCCTCATTCTTATATTTAATCCTTTAGAAATTGTATAAAATGAGACTTACGTAAGTCGGTCTTTAATTGACATATTGGACCTATATTTGGAGATGCAATTAAATATAATCTTACTAAATCCTTCTTGGTGCATTTTCTTGGAACGTGTTATTTATCATTCAAAAATTTTGTTATTAATATTGTTTGTTATTGTACTGGGTGTCGAAATGTATTTAAATATGTATGTGGGTATGGTGTGTTGGATGATTGGTTACCAAAGTTGGTGTATATGGGATAGTGAAAATTTCGAGTGTGGATAACCCAGAATCGGTCGACGTGAAATTCCCATACGTCGACCCGATGACCTAAACTAGTCGACGTGTAGCTTCCCACACGTCGACCGGTATCCTGACAGTGAGTTTTTTTTGTACACGTTCCAAACTAGTTGATGTGTAACTTCCCACACGTCGACTGGTATCCTGACAGTGAGCTAAGTCACAATGTGTGACCCAAACCAATTGACGTGTGGATTTCTATACGTCAACCGTTTCCTGTTCCACACATTTTTTGTTTAATTTCCCAAATTATTCCTCTTGTCACCTATTTAAGGTTACAAGTATTTATTTTATGACCCATTAAAATTCAATAATTATATTTTAACCACATGAATGACTTTATTATCCAAGAACTTTATCTTAATTATTTTATGCTATGAGTAATCGACTATTATACCCTTGGAGTCTTAAAACAATAGAATTGTGACGAATGACTATCGCGTCCTTGTTAGACTTTTATATATTAATTTAACGTGAAAGGACCATATTACCCTCGGATGATTCTGGGTCGGGTAAGGACCCGCTTAATGATCCGGATCCAGCGGATTTGGATCGTTACGGCTAACAAAGCAGCATCTGCAAAATTAGAAATTATTGCCTTGCGTGGCTTGTATTTTGGTGAGAGTGCTTTTAGCTTAGAAGAAAAAATAAATAAATTCTTCTTTCTTTTGTTTTCTTTTGAAGTGTAATACTCTAAATCTTAAATTCAAGACTCTCATTCTTTATACCTTTTCTTATTAAAATCCCATTAGATAGATCTATGCACTAGAATGAGCTAATGATCCAATTGTTACATGTAAAATGTATAGTATCAGCAGGTTAGAATCACTGTATTGGCAAATGCCTGGTTATGAGCTCAATTTTATATACAGAGTCTTTGAAATTGTGACCTCCTCCTTGTACATTACCAAGTGCAGGAAACCTTAGAGATGTGCTCCCTTACCTTGTGCAGGATCATCTGGCACTGTTGATGTTACCTTATTGTGCATTCTGGCTTACCTTTTTCTCTGCAGTAAATTTCTGTAAATTTCGTTGTAGATATATAGACTTTGTAGTGCTTAAAGGGTCCTCTAACCATGTTGTTCTCTCATCTTCTCTCAGTTTCTCTTTTCTTTAAAGAAGTTGAATTGAGGGCACGTTCTTTGTAGTTCATTCAGAAAGATATGTTTAGTGTTCAGACTAAAAGCATACATTGTGAAACATTATGCAACCTTCTTTTGGAGGGTTTGGCACTGATTTGTGTAAAAAAATTAAGCAACGCCATATTCTCGCCCTTTTTCCTTATGTAGGAGTTCCTCTCTAGCTTATGATGCTGCAAGGACATCTGTTTATCATTTAGGGGGGTGGCCTGGTCGTGATGGGAAACGATTTCTAAAACTGAGCAAAGCAGTGTTAGTACTTAGTAATGATGGACAAAGGGGATAAACAGATTTTGCTTTCCGTTAAGTGCCTGCAAAATGACAAGAATGCCCTTGACAGTATATTAAAATTTATTTAAATATAATTATAGTAATTAGGGTTAATTACAACGACACCCCTTAAGGTTTGACATAATGACAGTCATATACAACTTAGTTATTTTTTGGACAAAGACACCCCGTGCAATAATTTTGATCCAAACAAGCCCTTAAAACATTTTAAAAAACGAGATTGCCCTTCAATATTTAATTCATTTTTATTATAAAATATCATAACTCATGAAAAGTCAAATTTAGCCCAATATATATACATTATTACCCTTATATTATTACTCTAATATTAGTGTAATATATTAAAATATTAGTGTTATATTATATATTAGTGTAATATTAGTGTAATATATTAAAATATTAGCGTAATATATATATATATATATGGAAGAGCAGTGGGGAAGAGAGCACCAGCCGCCACCACCCTCATTGACGCCGCCCTACTACTCTGCCACACCCAATTCCCCAACCTCTCTCCACTACGTTGCCACACCCAAATCCCCAACTCTCTCCACCTACCACTGTAAAGCCACACAAAACCCAACAAACATGATGAAGTGGAGGAACGGTGGAGATCGATCTCCTTTCAGTCCGGCGATGCCGTTGACGGAGGCGGCAACGATGGGTTTTAGATTACGGTGCGGGTTCGGGCAGAGACCGTTGCCGAAGAGTATACCGGAGTTTTTGTTGGCCAGAAGCTGTTGCCGGGCAAATCAGAATTCGAGCCGGCAATGAGGAATCAGTCGCGATTCCAGCGACAATTTTCTGGTTTACGATTCGCGAATCTTGCAACGGCTCGATGGTATCCTCGTCAGTCCACATCAGTTGAAAGAACCTCCGAGACTCATCAAGGCCAACAGCTTCTTCTCTTCGACAACGGTGGCGATCAAGACATCCTCAACGCAGAGCTCGGAAAGGTAGCGGCGCCGCCGCAGAGCTCGGCCTTTGCTCCATTTGTCATCGAGTTTAGCGAGGATTGATAGGTTGGGTTTGGGGTCTAGGCATCATCTTCTCAAGTGTATGAGATTGGGAGTTTGAGATTTATATATATCTATAAATCTGTGTTTGTGCAACAATTAGGATTTTTTGTGGGTTTTCCATGGGTTCAATTGGCTGAATTTTTTTATGAATTTTTCATGTATTCAATTGATGGGTTTTGGTTGTGGTGGCAGAGGTTGCAATGGTGGGTGGAGAGAGAGAAAGAAGGGGTGGTAGTATTGGTGGTGGCGACTGGTGGGTGGTGGTTGTGGTAGGGACTATGGTGGGGTATTTTAGTCAATAAAAAAATAATTGTATTAAATAAATTGGTAATTGAATGTGTCAAGGGTAATAATGTCAATTCAGAACCATTTGAGTGTCTTAGTTAACTTATTAAACCGGAGGAGTTGTCATCATCGTTCAAAAATGGCTCAACTTATATATTCCTGTCATTATGTCAAACCTCAGGGGATGTCGTTGTAATTAATCCTACTAATTATATATACAATTATAGTAATTAAAATTGTAATTATAATTATAGTAATTATATATAATTATATATTATAGTATACAATTATAGTAATTATATTTATATAATTATAATTATAGTAATTATATATTCACATATATACACACACATATATATAATACATATCCTCCATTATAAAAAGATAGCCAATTGACAATAAATAGCAACATCAACGGCATGACTGGGATTGAACTGGGTTTCGTCATTTCAACAAGGAAGCTTGAGGCGTCGCCGGACTGTCGCCGGACTGAGCAAATTAACTTTTAAACTATGACCGGAAAATTGTAAAGACCTTTTTACCCGCTAACAAATTAACTATTAAAATATGATGGAAAAGTTGACTAAATGATGTAGAAGATTATAATTTAATGAACCACTAAAAATTTAACACGTCACCAACCTTATCACAAGAACCAATTATATGTTGACAACTCACCCAACTTAAAGAGAGAAAAGTGACAAAAAAAAAAAAAACTGATGTATCATGTGTATACATATACATATATATATATCGTGTATATCGCTCCATTCGTCAACGGATTTTGCTGCACCTCGTCTTGGTCTCTTCTGAAGTTAGCCAGGATGTTGAAATTCAAGAAATCAAAATTCAATTTTCAATTTTCAATTTAGGAGTTGGGGCTGTACTGTAACTCACCGGATTAGGTCCTTCAATGACGTTCTAGTTCTAAAATGAAATTATCTGGTCTGGACTGAATTTCACTGGTCGGTTAGTCATTGTTCTAAACGTTTTCTGATTTGGGTCGTTAAAATTCTTAGGAAACGATCTTCTGAAACTGTTGCTTTCACAAGATCGAAGCGCACCGAACTGAAACTTGTGAAGCTAGCCGAAGCAGTTTGAACTCTGCACCTCGCTGGTGAAGAATTTGTGTTATTTGCCGAAAATATGAATATGCGTGAAGTCAGGTTCACTGCTCTCAATCTTCAGTCGTCGTTTTAGCAGTGACCCTTCTATCTTAGATCACGCCGGTAGCGACACCTTATTCTCCTTCAACCAGGTCTCCGACGGCGACCTGGTATCTCCCATGGACGGCAACGTAATGGTCGCTGTCCTCCTTAGCACCACGATGAGAACCAGGTCACAAAATCAACCCGGTCATACTCTTTCACGGCAACACAAAAATCACCGTGGTGTTCCGATCAAGGTCGTCGCCAGAGTTCATGGTTTTGACACTTCTGGGTTTTGGCTCTCGATTTGGTGTAGTGATGAAGCTCTGTTTTTTTGGTCTTCAATGGAAATAGAAAAGAGAGAGAAAGTTGGGTTGAATGCGCAATAATCGGTATAATAGCGGGGTAGTGTGGTATTTTTGTATAACAAGGGTAGTATGGTCATATTTAAATAAAATATTATGCACGTGACAATCATGTGATCTGATTTGTTAGTTTTTGACGAAAAATTACCGGGAGGGATCATTACGATAGACTTTTTAATATGTTGAGGAGTTTTATGATAGTTTCTATATTTGAGGAGGTTAGTAGATTGTTTTTGAAAACAAGAGTGGGTTTTTAGAATTTAGCCCATATATATATATATATATATATATATATTAGACTTTTAGTACAGAGGAGTATAATAAATTCAAGAAGTGACATCTTTCTGTTTTTTTAAAGAATTTTTTTTTTTGGTGCACAGGAGTATAATAAATTCAAGAAGTGACATCTTTTGTTCTTTTAAAGAATTTTTTTTTTTTTAAAGACAAATTATACAGACCACCTAGATTATATTGTGCATGTGGATATAAATTATAATAATATTATAAAAAGATTCATATTAACCGGTTGATTACAAAAAAATCAATATAAATTTACAATTTAGCCCATATATATATATAGAAGTGACATCTTTTGTTCTTTTAAAGAATTTTTTTTTTTTTAAAGACAAATTATACAGACCACCTAGATTATATTGTGCATGTGGATATAAATTATAATAATATTATAAAAAGATTCATATTAACCGGTTGATTACAAAAAAATCAATATAAATTTACAATTTTGATCTTAAAATTAAAATATTTATTTTTAATAAAAAAAAGAAAAAAGTGTAAAAAATCCTCCTGAATTATTAGAGAATTAGCAATTAACCCCTAAATTATTAAAATTATAACTAATCTCTCAAACTATGCATTTTGTTGCAAATAGCTCCATCCGTCAATGTTCCGGTTGGATTAGTCATTGTTCCGATCGAATCTTACCCACATGATGGCATATGACCTACACTATAATTTTAATGACTATATTACCCTCCTAGGCATGAAAAGACACTAATGTTCCTTATTGTAATTATACCCAAACACCTTTTGAAACCACCCCAAACACACCCTTATGTCTGTCTATATATATATATATAGCTACTGTCTATCTTCTTCACAAAGCACATGATTGTTCACCTTCTTTCTCTCTGTGTGTATATAAAACTATATAGCTCTTGTGTTATGAAAGATTTTTCAGAGGAAGCGTAGGAGAATAAACAATTGTATGCTGGAGAAGGCAAAACTCAGAGGAAGAAGCGGTAACAAGAGCGGTGGCAGTGAATTTGTGGGGTTTGAATATTGGATTTGATTGTGTATGATTTAGCCTAAAATGTTTCCGAATCGATGGAAAGAAGGTCGTGGTTGATGGTTAGTAAGGTTGGTCAGGGAGGTAACGGTGATGATGGTGGCAGGGGTTGGTTTTGTGGTTCAATTGGGTTTGACAGCGTATGATTTACCCCTAATTATTTGAGTTTGTATTGGTTTGGGTGTGGTTATGAAGTGGTGGCAGTGGGTTGGTGGAAGAAATGTCAGAGTCGTTGTTCGCTGGCAAAGGGGATTCGCGCACGGGAAGGCGATTGATTGGTTCGTGCTTGGCTGTGCGAGAGCAGCAGAAGCGAGCACACCGCCGTGGAGAACTTGTCGGCGGACCTTCCCAAGCTCGTGGAATGGTTATTAGATCTTTGCACTCTCCACCGCTGTCGATCTCTCCTTCGTGGTGGTACATAGAGGGCCTCTTGAATTTTGCCAATCAGTCTGAAAATTGGTGACGACACGGTGGTGATCGGAAGCAAGCGTCGAAGGGGTTGTTAGGAGTGAAATTGGTTGGCCTTGCTTTGAGAAATTGTTTTGCAATTCCCATGGAGAATATAAAATCCTAAATAGACAATTTTCTAGGCAATATCAGTATGATTACCAATAGAAAATTAAGAACATATAATTTGGTGTAAAAGAGCATAGTTGAACAGATGAGGGAGTTCATTGACAGTTTCTGACAATTAGACACAGATCTGTCAAGTTTATTTGAGTGGGATCGTCAACGTTGGAGAGATTTTGAAAAATCTGGAGAGTTTTGCCGTCGAATATGGCGGTAAAGAATAAGTTTGACTGCAAATGGGTTTAAAAGGATTTGTTATTTAATTATTTTTATTTTTATTTTTATTTTTTTCTTTCTCTGAAGACAAGGTTGCTTTGTTGTTGCAATTTGATTGGTGTCTGAAATTATCATTGCCACATCATCAAGTTAAGGGTATAAGTTTCAAAACTAGTAATTTTAAATAAGGATAAATTAGTCTTTTATTATTTTCGTCTAAGCCAGCTACCGAAATATAACAAATCAATAAATTAGGATTTCTCCTAACAAATTAATAGTAGTTCAAGGAGAGTTTGTTGCAATATGTCAATAATTTAAGCAAATTTTATTACACTTCTTCCTAAAATAAATAAATAAAAGAAACTGTACATTGAAAAGTTTCACTTATGTCCTGGTACACCACATCCGCTTCCCTACCACATCAATCAGTGCTCTCACCTCATCTCCCCCTTCCTTTTTCATATTAACCTACCCAAAGCAGCAGCCCCCACCGCCGCCACCCCCACTGCCGCCACCACCACACACCAACCTTCCCCAAATTCATCACAAAAATTCTCTTCAAACCCAATTTTAATAGAGACCATCGCCCAGTTTGGCAACAAATGAAACACCATCACCCCCTTCCTCTCGGGTTGAACCAACAAGGCCAAATTGAAGTACAGGAACTCCAACCTCAAGTGGGAAGTGCTCGTCGATGAGTACCGACGAAGGCGATGGAGTACTTAAATCCGCAGCCATTGAATAAATTGGTGAGTACGGATTCTCCCCTTTCGGTTTTGGGTAAATCGATTCGACCGGTTTCATGTTCGACGTCTCACATACCGAACTGTAAGTGAAGCGAGCCTCATCTAAATAGATCCGGTGATGTTGTAGAATTAGAGTATGGACTTAATATCGTGATGACGAAATCTGTTCAAGAACAACAGAGATGACAGTGGTGCCACTGCCGCAGGAGGCGGAGGATGTGTTTAGGCCGTTCAGTAAGGAGTTCTTGGCGGTGATACAATCGTCGCCGGTGATGGCCCGAGCAAGGCGTTGGACCATACGCTCTAAGCTTCGAATTCGTCCGAGTGGTGCGTCGTCGGCGGCGAGCATCTACGATATTTCTGGGTCACGATTTGTACTGATCTTATTCACTCCTTGGGACCACTGGTTACTGTTATTCATCATCATCCTGAAGAGGGGGGGAATGATCCGAATGATTTGTGGATCCGTGGTTGGATTTTGTGGGCTCTGATGGAGTCTTAGGGGTAAAATTGTAACTTCAAGTAGACACAAAATTTTAAGATTTTTTTCATTAAACAAATAGTTTAAATCTAAGGACAAAAATGTAATTTTATATCAATTCACTAACCACAAAAAATTAATTTGGGTCTATGTTATATTGTAGCCATTTTTTATTTACAAGCATAAGTTGAAAACCCGAGTAGTCCTTTACGTAATTTGCCTTCTTTTTAACTACACTTTAGTTCCAACCTACTTTTTGGATTAATGTTATGATGCCTTCAATTATTCTTAAATCACATACATTTAATTTTTTTTTTTTTTTAAAAAAATTTAAAAGTTTGCACTATTTAGTCAATATAAGCTACTTCATGGATAATACTGACTCACTTCTCATTACTGTTGGTAACTACATAAATTTCCTGATTAAGATAACTATTAGCCAGTGCTAGCTATACTTGAATGTCAAAAAACATTTAGAACATTCAGATAAATGAAAACCTAAAAAACAATAGAATGTCACATAAAGACCTTCATAAATACTCCAATAAAAAGATCATAAAAACAATGTAAAGTAATATAATCTACTCACGTGTGTGTGTGTATATATATATAATTATAGCACGTACATTGTGTTCCCCTGAGTTGAAGAAGCTTGTGCTCACCTAGGCAAACCGAAATTCGTTACATTAGCTTTATATGGTTGACCCAAAATGTGGAAAATAATTTTCCAGCTTTGCAGACAAACAAAAACACAGCACAATGGACCTAATGCAACAAATATAGAGCAGTGAATCAACATGGCACAGTTTCTCTCCATGTTGTTTTTACTTTGTTATTTCAAAAGCCACACAATACATGAATACAGATGTATGAATTTCACATCAAAGTTCAAAAGCCAATTAAGAAGCTGAAAGGCATAGCATGGAGATCGATAAATCTCATTTAGAAAAAAAAAAAAAAAAACTGCTTTTATGTGCACAAAAGAAAATCCAAAAGGAGCTTTGTGTATCTGCAACTACCCGAATATACAAAAGATAAATAGAGACTTAAAATCCAGCAGCTCCCCCTCCTCCTATACGCTTTACAAAGGAGGAATCTGCACTTTATCAAGCAAAATTTGAGCTCCCATGTCCAAAAAACATCTAACTCAATAGATACTCATAGCTCACAAACACAATTGGCTATTCTCATCTCACCATCCAATTAATCACATTTTTACATGGTCATTAGTGGAATTAGTAATGTGGGAAAGGGTCATCTCTAGCAGGCTGAGAGCCTTCTCCTCCGCTTGTAACACATTAAATGGCCTTTTCGAATGTTGACGCTTTCCTTGTGAACGGCATGTTCAACAGAGCATTCTAAACTGATTTCACTTTGGCAAGGTACGGACTCGAGAGAAGTCGATTGACTCACCTGTGGATTTGGAAACAAACAGACAATTTACTAAAAGACATAAGACTAAATGAAAATGATATACTTAATGTAAAAATGGTGCAGGAGATGTGCAAATACCAGAACCACCATAGGAGCAGCGCCACCATTACTGCCATTGCCTCCAGCAATACTGCCCAAAGTCACAATGGTAAATTAAGTTAATCAGCATTTTCAGTAAAATATTGTAATTTATTTATTACTTTTTTTTTTTTTTTTTACCATATAACACCACCTACTTTGTTCAATTGTCAAAAAATAAAATTAGCAGCAGCCCCCAAGCCGACCCTGACCCAAAAAATAATATAAAACCAACAATTTGAAGACAGTTTGTAATTAACTATATAACAAATACAGATATTTCTTTCCAACTATCTCAGAAATCCACCATTTACAAAAGGAGGTACATTGTCTGTTCATGCATTCTATTACAGGTGGATTCCTTCCAGCACCTTCTCAACTAACTAAGAACATACACAGTTTTACTTCTTAATATCTAAAACTGCATGAAATGGAAAGAATCACCAACTTCAATTGAGGAACTGAATTCTAGCACTGGATTTATTAACGAACTACATTATTCCATATCCCAATATTAAATTAAAAAAAGAAAAGAAAAGAAAAAAAAAGCATAACCTTTTCAACCAGCCTTTAACTCAATTACAATATGAAAATAATGCTTTAATTGAGTTCTAGGCAGGTTGACTGGTTTAAAGTCTTCACCTAGGCCTTAGTATGGTTAGCATAAAAAAATGTCTCGTTGGATATACAGTGAAAAAGCATATATGATTCTTTTTTGATAAGTACAAAACACATATATGATAATACAAGTTTCCTACATAATTATAAATAAGACTAATATATCATGCTTATCTTGTTACATGATTTACTTCAAAACGATTGGCTGCGCATATTGCATACACTATTACGTAAAAATGTCTTCTTATACTATAGTTGAAATTTTTAAAAAAGAATTTTATGAAATATGAATCTCTAGACATTGTACTAATGTCCTTGATTAGGGTATTCGATCATTTGACACTTTACCCATACCAGAACACATAACTAGTCCATGTAACCTACAGACCTTCAGTTTACAAGATTGACACACTATGGCTGATGATAGAATTGTTAATTAGATGGTTTTCACACTTAAATTTTTATTTTTTATTCGTCCCTCAAACTTCAAACAACACCAATTAGTTCAAATTTTACAAATTCATCACTTAAAATTCAGCTCTAAAACTTTCGAACTTAATTTTCAATTTTTGTCAAACAACACCTAAGTATATAAATCATTCATTATTTGTTAGATAATATGGAATGGTTTTATAATTTTTTTCAAAAAATTAGCAACGATGACTGGTGTCAATATAAAAGTATGCATGCCTACATAAGCAAAGTCTCTTCTAATTTTTATATTCTCCAAGTAATTTATAGCATGTAAAATAGAATAAAATAATTGATTCTTAAACCATGGAACTTGAAAATGTGGTGCTGGTGAAAGTTTCTTAATAACTTTTTACATATAAAAGGATATTTTGGTGAATCACTTTTACAAACTCGCAATCGTAAACACAGTCCAATAAAATAAAAATAAAAATAAGTTATAAGTTACTGCGTCCATAGGGTGCGTAATCCAATTTTTTTCAACACAATTGCACAACCACATGTGTGCACAAATTGTTGCTAGATGGATTTAGCATTTAATAATATTTAAGAGATCAGAAATAAGGTTCTTTTCCAAGTCCTGTGAAGTAGAGGTTTGTGCTAATATAAATTCACAGGCAACATCTCCTGAGTCTTTTTTGGGCAATAGAAATATTATTGAATAAATTTCCTTGTACCCTTTAACTTGTCATGTTTCTCTACAATAATTTAATAACTACATCCAACTAAGTCACATCGTCTGAGGTATCATGACATTTAAGTGAACCAATAACTGCTAATCCCAAAATGGAAACTTTATTCTTTCTAACCTGAGTCAAATCAAGTACCTGGATACTATGTGCTTGAGTGTCACTCTCTGGGTGAGTGTTTTTTTATTATATTTACAAATTCCATGTTTGAGCCCATGTATATTCTTTCTTGTTATAACAAAATTGAGGAAACAAGAGGAGAGACATACTCAGCCAGTCCTTGGTCCATAATTCCATTCTCCGCAACTTGATCTGCTTGAAATACTTCAGAAACAGCACTATTCCCATCCAAATCAATATTATAACTTCCATTGATATCATCACAAAGTTTTTGCTGGGTTCCTGCATAAAGAAATATTAGAGTATGAAAGAAAGTTTATAAAATGGTTACAGCTTTTCTACAATTTGAATGGAAGAGACATGCAACATACCTCTTCGCGCACTTAGTTTTGTGTAACGGGGCTTAATTATGAGTTTCTGACACATGACGGTACCCTGGAAATCGAGGAAAGTATAATCCAGAAAGTTAAATCTCTCAGATTGTATCATTTTTGAAAAACCAAATGAAGTAGTCCAAGTGTGTAGCAGACTAGGAACAGCGGGCAAAACTAGCCTTTCCACTCCTAATTCCCTGAGCTTCTGAAAAACAAAAGTGGAAAACAATAGTGAGTAATGGACAAGGTACATGTTATATTTTTAATTTGTGTCTGTACAACAAATTCATGGAATTCCACCATCCTTATTTGATTTAACCCCTCGTGTATTGTTTATAACTTTCCCTTATTCTCTGCCTTGTTATATTAGGGTATTGGTCTATTGATAAACAAATTATAGAGAAATCATTAACTTTTCAATCTATCATAGAATGACTAATCTCTCCACTTAAAACTTCACTTCATAAAGCTTAGTACTGCAACAACAAATGCAGAGCTTAAGAAGCGGGCATCCAAAATTACACTATGTCTCGTGCGTGGCTAAATTATAGAGGATATCTAATCTATTAATTCAGAGCTTAATAGTTTTATACTAAAGGTTCCTATCTGATGTACTGGTGATGTGAATCCTTCAGTTTATAACATTTCCGAGAATATTACTAATACTACTTCAGTTGCCAGCATAGGACTGTGACAGTTAATATAATGAAATTCTGTTACGTATGGAAACCACATCAATTAGATTGGAGATCTTATATCTTGGGATTTCATAACATCCAGAAAATAACATAAATTTAAAAAAAAAAATTTAAATTTTTAAGAATAATCATGAAAGGACTTCTATATCATAAAATTTCTCTACCACAGAACATTAGGAAATATATAACTTGAAATAAGGTTACAAACTAGTCACTCCAAGGAAAAGTATGACTACAAGAATTCATCATTACAAAAACAGATTAGCAAGTCGAGTGATTAAAAATATAGAAATTACAGGCAACAGCCCAGGAAAAAAAAAAAAAAAAAAACCCATCCAACTTCAGAAAACCAAAATTTCAAAAAGGTGAAAGGGCTCCTTCTACCATCACAAGTATCAAAAGTTCTACATCCTTTTGGAGAGTTTACTGCTCTAATAGGTAACATAATGTGATTGGATTAATCACATTTTTTATATGGGGGGCTAAATCTCAAGGTCAGTCTGTATCATTTCAAATTTGGAATGCTACTACTCAAATCAATTCAGATTTTAATAACAATAAATATCAAGGACTCATTTAGAAAAGAAAATTAATAATATCAAAGACTCCCTCCCCTGACCCAAGTCCATATATGCGCAAACACATATAGAAGGTTACCCTTTCAAGCTCATTCATCAAGATTCGGCACATTCCACGTCTGCGATATTGAAACCGCGTACCAACAAGCGGTACTTCTGCCACCTTTCCTCCATAAATCCTGAAAAAGAAGAAGAAGAAGAGCTTTTCATATTACCATAAAATCTAAAAAAGACAAGGCAGTTCATCATGGATCTGTAATTGTATAGTACCGTACAGTAGCCACCGTAATCAATTCATCATTTCTCTCCAAAATGACTGTATAAAACCCTCGGAAGTTCAAACGATTTAGTTCTGACCTGCAAAATTCCCATTCATTACCATCAGGCTTGGAGCAATAAGATGTATGTCTTCTGAGTAATAAATAAAAATATCATCAAAGGACATGGACAAACACACCAACTTCAACTAGGAAAAAAAGAAGAAAAAAAAAACACACACACACACACCAACTTTATATAACAACAGCAGTGTAAGGAAAAACATCACAGGTTTAAAATGAGATGGACTCAAGTAAAAGTAGTGATCTAACCTCCAGCTAACAGCAAACACCCATGAGATGCCAATTGAGCAAAAAATTTCACCAAATATATCTTTTTATCAAGACCAATATAATACATGCGAGTTTTCCAGTCATTCAGAAAATGTAATTTCTCTTGGCAATAAGGGAAATCATTATGACTTGAAAAGATGTAGTTCAATAAAAATAACATTACCAAGAACCTACGGTCATAATAGGCCACACACATCATAAGAACATTGTATATCTGGGAACCTTGTACATGTAGATGATATTGTTGAAGGTAATCTGGTATCTTAGAGAAGGGGCTTAAGTGGGAAGTTAAATTGCTAGGAACCGGTAGAAGAAAAAAGTCATGGAGAAATTTATGGGTCATGAGTGACATCAGATTAATAGTCAAAATTAGAAGAGAATACCAACGACGTAGTGACACATATTTTTTTAATGAAAAAGACTTTAATAGAAGACAGGAAGGAAACATAAGAAAGAGAAAAGGCTTTGATATTTTTAAATGAAAAAGATTTCTAATAGAAGACAGGGAGTAAACGTGAGAAAGAGAAAAGGCTTCCTCAAGGATATACTGACAGAGAAATACAAGGAAAGTAACATGCAATAAAAGAAAATTATAGACACTATAGAGCAACCATCACTTGCTAAAATCAGTTGTCTTGTAGACAACTTATCTCTACTAATGAGCAAACAACATACGTTTTGTTCTACTTTTTTCAATTAATAAAAAGGAAAAATAAAGAAGAAAAATTCTGAGTACAGCTAAGAATAAACATGCAGTAAGCAATCAACTCCTGTTAGTAACATCAATGCAGTCAAATACCACTCAAAAAAGATATATCAGAACAGAAAGAATATCTATGGAACCACAAGCACAAATAACTTAAACATAAGATATAGGTGGAATATCAATAGGACAGGTATGAAACGGAAATCAGAAAATATAGAATAACTTTCTAGTTCAACAGTCGAACAAAATATGTGTGTGTGAGGTTAAGTGGTTAAAAGATGTCTTTAATATATTCATTGAGTAACAATATAAACAGTGTCCTGTTCCCTACACACACACACAAATACACAGAGACATAAAACGCAAAAAAAAAGTGAAGAGAACTGAATTTGGAAATGAGATTATCTCACCATCTACCGAAGATGATATCTTCAACGAGATCTCTCCTTGTGTGAGATTCCTTAATGGGGTTAAAAACCTCATGCATCACACAGAGAGCAACACTGAGCTTGCTGTAAGTCTCTGTCAAGGCCTCATTGTCAGAGGCATCATGATCACTGTCACATTTCGTGTATTTCAAAAGAGTCCAAGTTAAATCTTCACCCACTGGAACTGGTTTTCCCAAAAGCTTGCAGAGGCCCAAAAATATCTGCAGAATGACACGAGAGCTTCAAAACATACATATAGTGTCATGTTTAAGAGGTTATATCAATAAAATGATAATCCACCAATCACAATATACTAATGTTTCTCATGCATTTACAAATTTATATATTACTAACAATCAAAATCAAGTAAGCACATTTCCACTTATGCTTTCTAAACTTGAGTTTTATTACAATGTAATTCACTGAAGACTCAAAATGTCGATGAACCATCAGATAATAGCACGTGTACTCCATCACAACCATCATTTTATGATCTTAACCTTTTAAATCTCACAGACCAAACGGAGAACTTTGTTTCCTATGCGTCTAACATAATATTAAAATTAAAATCGCATAATAACTGGCATATAAAATTGAAAACATGCAATTGCAATGGGCTGAAAGCTTTCAATAGCCTTAAAATAAATAAATAAATAATATTTGCACCTTTAGAAACACTAAACATTTACTTTTCCAATGAAAGACGCTAAAAAGAGGCTATGCTGGATCATTGTAATATACGGATTGACACCTTCTACAAAAAAGATATACTAACAGAGTTTCTTTGCAAAGCCTTGACATCTTTATAAGTTGAGTGTTTGAAGACTTATGGTGGCTACAGACTGAAAGATTACTTGAATGCTTATTTCCCAGTTGCAACTGAACTCTCCTCAAAGAGGTCAAAACCCCATTACTAACATTTCATCCTTTGCTTCTTTCATTTGAATATCCGACCTAAACCTAAGGTACTTCCACAAAACTAGAGTAGTGAAATTCAAAGATAATGTACAAAAGCCAGAGTCGTTAGTGAAAGAGCAACCATCAGCTCGACTTCAAAATTCAAACCCCTTTATCCGAAAAAAAACCAAACCACAATATCTATATATATATATATATATATATGTGTGCATATGTTCATGGTAAGTTTGGTAACAAATATTATAAACTAGATTAGTTTCTACTCTTCTTCCTTTACATAAATAGCTGGAGACTGCAAACTGAGACTGGCTACTCATTTTTGTAGGAAACCGGGGAAAAAATAGATAGAGACATGACAGAAAAGAATATGAAAGAAAAAGCTTAGAATTATCTCTCTTTTTTTTCCCTAAATGAAGAAAAAAAAATTATAGATAAAACAATATGGTACAGAAAAATAAAAAAAAAAAGTGAGAGCATACCCTCACAACAACAAGCATAGCCCTACAGAATAGGGATAAAATAAACACAAGGCTAAACCCTTGTTGCACTAAGATACATAAAACAAACTCCTATCAGATGACATCTTGGAGGCATACCCCCAAGACATCCAAAACTTCCCAAACAATAAATTTAGCAAGCATACATGGTTCTCTAGGAGTGGAACCATGCATTCTACCATTTCTCTCAATCCAAAAGCTTAGCATTATCAATTTTAGCAAAATTATGGTCCATATTGATCAAATCAACCATAGTTGAAGCAAATGTAGAAAAGGTTATTCACATGGTTCTAATTTTTTAATTGCGTGAAGAGAAAGAAAGTGGTTCTTCTGAAAAAGACATATGTCAGTCAATGTGAAATACTTTTTTAGAGTATTAAACCAGACTTCTATCTAGAAAAGGAGAGGTTTGAAATACCTGTTCACATTTTCTATTGCAAAACCAATTTCCTTCAGAATATCTCTCCAGCTTTATGAGACCTCTTTTTCTTAAGCATCCAACATGATCTGCATCAAATTGATTAATTAATCAGAAATGTATTCAATATGGGTGAAGTTGCACAGGTGTAGATTATATTTTACACATTTTTGCGTGATATAACACATGTACAGAAAGTATATAGTTAACGCACACTGATGCTCGCACTGAGCACAATTAAGAACACTATTATCCAGAAACTGTTCAGTGTCTCTGTTGAATCTGCTTTGGCCACAAATTCCACAACGGCATGATGGGCAGAACCAATCTCCATCTGGTACATCCTTAATAAACAACAAAATATAGTCTAACATCAAAACTCAAAATAATAATTCATATTTATTCTTTGAAAATAAAATAAAAAACCAATTCAACACAAGAATCAAAGCCTCTAACCTTCAAACCAAGGCAATCTGCATGGAATGATGATGGACACTGATCACATAGAATTAGTTCACCCCCATCGTGACAAACGGAACATATGTAGTCATTTGTGCTCTGATGCCGCTTACCCTTTTTCACATTAGGTTCTATCACAAAGCTTTTTTTACAATTTTCACGTTTCAATTGCATCTGACATTCTAACAAAGACCTTCCATCCTCTAAAAAAATATTGGCAGATGGTCGGTGATTAGTGCTGCCAGCATGAGCTTCAAATTTCTTAAGAGAGAGAACTTTTTGGCAACAATTGCACTTGATCCCATGACGAGTTATTCGCCCTTCTGCCATGGGAGAATGATCATTTCTGCTATGGTAATGTACTTTTGCCCTAGGCAACACCACATTGTTATCTATTAACCAAGACAATATAGTTCGAGGGTTGTCGGAAGAAACCACCGGCTGCCGGGCTCTTTTTCTAGATCGCAGCACACGAATTGGACAATCAACATTACCATCATCTCTTAATTTGATCAAAAACTTAGATTTCTTTCCTTTCTTCGGCTTTGGAGAGCCAACATTTTGATCGATCATTTCAAGCAAGTTAGATGGAAAATGCAGGTTGCTATTCTCTCTATTTTTTCGAAGTTTTCTAAGTCCTCGGGCTTTTAATTTACTAAGTTTCCTTGAAAATGATATCCCAGAAGAATCCCTTGACCACTTTTCAGACGACACATTCAGTGGTACCAAATCTCCACGAAACTCAATATCAATTAATGCAGAAGATTCACCAGCTAACTGGGCCTCAGTTTCCTCATTGACATTTGTATTTTGCCTTGGTCTACAGGTAGAAGCACCAAAATCTGAGAAACCTCTTTCATCTATACAGGCTTTGCAGGCCGTTAGAAGAGAATAGTAAATCCTCCCACTTGGTGATTTGTACCGCAATTCCATTTTGGTTCCCTTCCTAACGTACCAGACGGACCACCCATCAGATGCAAGGTGCTTCTTTGCATAGAATTGCAACTCTTTACGTGCACCTTTCCGCAGTCTGTGGTGATGATTCTTATCCTTGAATGCAAGTGAACAATAATAGTCCATTACTGCTTGAGGGCAAGAATCAGATTCAATAATAGGTACATCGGAAGTAGAATGCACAATAGATTCTCCCTTCAACAACAGCTGTTCGGCAAGCATAGATGAGGAAGGACAATTGGGTGCAGCAAAAGAAATTCCCTTGTCATCATGAGAATTTAGAGAGACAACCTCCAATGAAGATTCTCTCAACTCCTGGCACAGCTTGCCAAGTGAATAGTAACATTTCCCATCAGGTGAGGTGTAACGTAGTCTCTGTATTCCTTTCTCTCTCCTAAACTTAATTTTCCAGCCCAAATATGCAAGATGTTTCCTAACTCTTAATGTTAAAGCAGTTGAAGGCCTTATATTAGAATTAGATAAAAGATTGTATTCAGCAACTGTATCTGGGCAATATTCAGTTCCAGCAACCAAGTCATCTCCTGCAGGTAGCCACATATAACAGCTTTTTCGCGTAGGAGATGTGAGCATCCTTTTGGGTGTTTTAGAACTGGTACTAGAGAATCCCTCACTGTTGGTATTGGAGCTGATCCCTGAATATTCATCTTGATTGAAAGATAAAAGAGAAAAACCCGGAGGGGGTAAACATAACGTTTCTTCAAGGCAGGGCATTTTTGAGTTCATCAAGGAATTCACATCCAGACTACAGTCCTCAATAATTAATGCCAAACCATTCCGATCAATGTCACCTTCAACAGGTGGAACGTTTGCATTATGTAGATCACTAGGCTGCATATTGGTCACTGAGCCATCATTTTCAAGTGGTACAACAGCAAGAGAGTTGCTCAAATCTGCTTGAGGATTCGGTATAACATCACAAGCAGGTTCAGATAATTCCAATGCCTGCTGGGATTCCTCTACCAGGTCTTCTGAAGAGTCCAGTTTAAGTAAAAATTGGTGAGTTAGATTTAAATTATCAATAATAACTTCAGTCACCAAATCTTTCCAGATATTTCTCGCGAAAGAAGTCCATTCCTTAAGCTTAATAAAACCTTTATTTCCCCGCATATCATACCAAATTTGCCTTGCAGAAACTTGAAGGGGCCACTCTTTTTGGATATCTTCAAGCACCTCAAGTAATAACCAATTCCCACGAGGCTTCCAATCTCCGGTATACTCATCCCATTCCTGAGCAATCCGTAACATCTCAATTTTAAACGTCATTGCATCACCAATATCTGGAAAGAAAATCTGCCGGTTCTCACAACCATCTTCGTGGTCTAAAATCACACCTTCCCACCAAGCCTCCTCGTAATACACATCAACACACTGTCCATAATGAAGACACCATTTCTCAAAACGAAGCGGAGGTGGCAATGGCCTTATCAAGGCACGATGGTTAGAGGATGTCCTGTTGGCAGGGACTACCCCATCAACTATAGAAGGAACTGTTTCAATGAGATTTTCTGAACCATCATTGCATAAAATATGGTCGTATTGGATTTGAAGTGCCTGACCTTGGCAGGCAATCACAGTTGCAGAGTGCCAGGACCCCTGAAACCCCTCTTCAACACTCCTTACCTGCACAAATTTCACATGTTTTATGTAATTACACAGTAAAATCTATATAATCCCATAGTAAAGAAATATCAAACTCTATTTCCATGTACACTACTATTAAAGAAAAAGAAAGATTGGCTAAAACCCAAAATCTTATAAAAAATAAAGCATTAATCAAATCCATAACCTTCCATACACAGTAAAATCTATATATACCCAAAGTAAATAAAAATCAAACCCATAACTCTATGTGCATGTAGACGAAAAAGAAAGATTTATTAAAACCCAAAAATTACTAAATCTATAAAATCCCATATTAATCACCGCATACAGAACTATGAATAAACCAAAAATAGACTTTAGAAAATGAAAAAAACAGAGACTAAGGCCACAATGCAAGTAAAATCAAAGAAAAAACAATGAAATTATTGTAAATAAACAAATAAAGGTTTACCGAGGGTTCGAATTCCTCTCTTTCCGTACATTCTCTATTCCTAATTGCGGTGACACGGAAAAAATACTGGAAAGGGCCGATAAGGAGTCTTTTTGTCATGATTCATGAACTAATGTAATGTCTAATTCTTTTTCTGGTAGGTTGAAATATGTATGGATATTGCTACAAAAAAAGTATTTTATTGAACCAATGAAATCAAAACAAAGAGGGTTCTATTTTCATTACGGACGTGAAAATAACGATTTTCTTCAATATTTTAACACGAAAAAAAAGAAAGATAAAACTTAAATAAGGCGACATTACTTCAACTTTTTGATCAGCGACAAGCTTTGGGTGATCATCCACCACTCTGCGTTTTCTTTTCTTTACTGAAGAAGGCGAGTTGGCCGGCATTGTAGGGTTTTGAGTTTTGTGAAAGTATGGGTAAACGGACTGGGGAGCAAGTAACAGAGTCAAAAAACGCCCTCTTCCTTTGTCATCCGTTGTTTTTGGTAAGTTTTTCTCACTCATGGTTCTTTCTCTATATATATATATAGACACACACATATGGGGTTAAGAAATTAATAAAATATGGATAATACTTAGGTCCAACCCAGGTTGGATGAAGTTCATCCAACTGGCTACGTGGCCCAATAAAATGTCGACACGTGTCTAAAATAATATAAAATTAAATTGGATATTACCCACCTATTTTCGGGTATAACCCAACCCATCTTCACCAACGTCATCTTTTCTCCGGCTAAGCACCATCATTCATCATCTACGAACATATTCCTCAATCTCCTCCACCACATCTCTTGCAACCCCACGATCCGACGGCTCACATGCCGCCTCAGCTCCCTCACCGTCTGATCAGCAACAGCCCCATCAAGGCCTCGTTCATCCTCATCCTCTCCTGATCGACGCACGGCAATGCAGGCGCGAAAGAGAGCAGCGAAGAAGAAGGTGACCCATGCGCGCGTGAGACGCGCGTTAGATCTACGCGCAGTGGCTCGTGAGGCGCGTGAGGCGACGGCGGTGAGCGGCTAGGTTGGTGGCTCTTTGGCGCATGATGAAGATCGACGGCTGCAAGGAAGATGGTGGAACGACGGGGGCGACGAAGATGGTGGATCGACGGCTAAAATTAATGGATGTTTTTTTGGAAAGTAAAATGGAAATTCTTTTTATTTCTGTTTCCTTTTGTTTTTGTTTCCATGAATGAGGCACTTACTCAGCAACCAAATACAGATTATTTTGTTTCCATGAATGGAGGGGGCGATGATGGGCAAGTGGGTTTGTAATTGGTGTTGGCGGTCGGTTTGCAATTGTTGTGCCTGCAGATTTTTGGAGAGATGAGAGGAAAGAGACGGGTTATACCCGGAAATGGATGGGTATTGAGGCTTGGTGAGCAGCGTGGAGTGGTGCTGGTTTGAGCAGAGGATGTGAGTACTTGCAGGTTTTGCTTGCAGTGGGGTTGCAGTGGGGTTTGGGGTTTGGATTGATATGGGCATTGTAATGGTATTGCCTTTGTTGTGACAGTGCAGAGCCGTGGTTTGGGGCTGGAGATTGGAGAGAGTATAGGGTTTTGGCGATGTAGGGTACTGCACCCTCGTCGCTCCAGATTGGAGGAGGAAGAAGAAGTCGCAGATTTGAAAAAAAACAAAAAAACAAAAAAAAAGAAGAAGAAGAAAGAAGTTGGTTATACCCGAAATACATGTTAATGCCCAATTTATTTTTATATTTATTTGAACAACATTTTATTGGGCCACGCATCCAAGTTGGATGAACTTCATCCAACTTGGTTGGACACTTGTATTGGATTGTACAAGCTGGCATTTGTGGGTGTACAGGTACAGTTAGCGCGACTTCATCCAACTTGGTTGGACACTTGTATTGGATTGTACAAGCTGGCATTTGTGGGTGTACAGGTACAGTTAGCGCGTGAATAAGTTTTAGTTTTCTCCAAAATCTTAATTATTAGTAAATGAAACTTTATTATTGTAAAAGTCATTCTATCATTTCTCAAGATCCAGCATATTCTTATAAGTAAACGAAATTTCATATGTGTGATCAACCATTAGCAGCATATAAGTGGCATGCTTTTTATTGCATATAAGTGGCATGCTTTTTATTGCATAAAAAATCAATGACCAATCTACTGAGAAAAATAAAAATTGCAAATCATAGTTTGTTAAAAAAAAATAATTCTTCTGTTGTATAACTAAAGTCTTACAAATTTAAACCCTCCATGATTCATGAACTCACACAATCAACACAAAAAAAATTAGGTTAGAAAAAGTATGCTATATCATGCATCTGATTTTATATCGAATCACCCCCTAGTCTAGTCGTACACTCTCAAGTGCTAAATGTAGAGTGTATTGTAAATGAATTTTTTCACACTTAAACATTTGTCTTACTTTAAACCATATTCAAATTGCATAATTAAATACTCTTAATTGAATAACTACTTAAATATTTTTAAAAAAAATTAAATTGAATTCTCAAACACTGTCAATTTTTTTAAAAAAATGCATATATATAATGAGTATGTCTTTCCTTTATCAGGTGGTGGTGGATAAATGGATTTTGTTCACATATTATTTATTTATTTATTATTATTATTTTTTTGTTCACATATCATTTTATTTATTTATTCATGTTATCCCTATATTAATAAGTTTGTAAAAAGTAATGTTTGTGTCAAAAAGTAATGTTTTAAAAGCCCCATGCAAATAGGAAACAATAATTAATGCGTTTAAAAAACAAATACTATAGGAGCAACTGTGGAGTTAAACCACTCCTCCTTATTCAAATACTATAGGAAAAATTCCCCATTGGTCTTACTTTTTAGCTCTAAAAATAAATAAGTACTGTGAAACCACAAAGACAAAAAAAAATCGTAATTAAAAAGTATTTTCAAATAAGTTCAGATTACATGTGAATGATGAACAGTTTTTCAAAATTGTCCTTTATTGCTGAGTTACAATAACATTTTTTTTTAATACAAATTTTCTTTCTACTTTCAATATTTTGTAATTAATTAATTTTATAAAAAAAATTATTTATTACCAAAATAAACAATCCTAAAAAAAAGTTAATAAAGTATTTCAAATACATTTTTTTTAAATATTCACATGTTAAAATATGAAGAAGAAATTCAAAAAGAATAGAAATAATTTATTTGTTATTCATAAATGTATTTAATGAAAAAAAAAATTCATTGTACTTAGGCATACACTTTGTAATGATGACTTTATGCATCTAAAGCAATTAAATATTGAATATTCAAGGCTTTACAGTGATACTTTATTTTTTTATTTTAATTTTGTCCTTTTATATTGATGGAAATAAAGGGTGAGGTAACCTTAATCTTAACAAATACAGAAAGACATTTATATACTGTAATATAATATCTGCCAAGAATGTTAAACATTAATTTCAGTTTTACCGAATTGATTGTGAGCTATAATTAGTTCACATCAAATATATATTTTTGACAAGACTTGGCCTCCAACCAACCTAACTAAATACTGAAAATGTGAAATTCAATGTAAGAAGATACCGGTAATTGTTGTGATGATTATAGTAAAAATAAGAATAATAATTAAGTCCTCGCTAGCGAAGATTTATAATATACTCATCATTTACGTAGATTAATAAAAAATTAACATGTGATTTTTAATTATCAAATCAAAGATTGGTAGGTATTGACATGTAATTTTTTATTACCAAATCAAAAATAGTGGGTAAATATTCACTTACCAAATCAGAGATAATGATTTGATTACCGTCTATAATTTGATAATCAAAATAGGACGTGTCTATTTATTGTTAGTCTATATCGGCAGGAAGTATGTTGCAAATCCACACAAGTGAAGACCTAAGAGCATCTTCAGCAGTATGTTAAAAAACCTTTTTGTGTAAAACACATAAGAATTGTAAATTTTTTTCATCTCCAGCAGTCTGTTAATATAGACTGCCACATCACCATTGTGTAAAAGGGTTGTGTAGGGTTGTGTAAATTACACAACCCTTTTCCCACCTGCGTTTCTCTTTCTTTTCTCTCATTCCTTCACGCCTTAATACACCACCCTTTTACACAGCCACGTAAGAATATTTTTTCTCTCTTCCCCCTTTCCCACCTGCATTTCTCTTTCTTCTCTCTCATTCCTTCACGCTTCTTTGTTTTCCACTTTTCTAGAACACCATATAGAAGAATCTGCAACTGGTGATAAGGTAAGAACTGATTGAACATCTTTTATTTATTTATTTTTAATAAACATAGTTTGATTCGTCACTTTATTTGATTTTATCTTCTACAATCATCGCAGTAAATTCTAGGGTTTTTTTTAGTTTTTAGATACATATTTTAATCACATTTTATATAATTGTTGTTAATCGCAGTTATACAAATTATTTTCTTTTTTCTTTCTTGGTGATTTAGTCAATTAAACCTTAAATCGTAGGCTGAGAAAGTTTTCTTTTAGCTTTCCTAATTGAGGAAGATTGGTACGTGAGATTTAATCGCCAAAAAGTAAAGTGAATCAAGTAGGTTTGTAAAAATTATGTATGGCGTATAAAATAACCGTTGGAGCTAAAAATAGGTAGTATAAAATTTTTGTATAAATCTACTCTGACACATCATATTTACCCAAAAAAACTATATACACTAGTCCAATAAGTGATAAGTAGTAGTGCTAAAACAAGTTGATTATTTTGTAAGAAAAAGGAAAAATACATGTAAATCAAAATCAAAATCAAATATTCCCATTTTCAGTAGTATCAAAATCAAATATTCCCATTTTTAGTAGTCTAGATGCTGCGAAAAATTTGTTTATACTCACATGTTAAAATACAATGATATTTTTTTCACTAAATACATTTATGTAACAAATGAATTATTTTCATTTTTTTGATTTTACTTTATATTTTAATATGTGAATATTTAAGCAAAATGTATTTGAAATGCTTTATTAATTTTTTTACTATTATTTAATTTTTTATAAAAGTAATTAGTTGCTAGAGAGAAAATTTGTATTTTAGTAGAAAAAAAAAAAAAAAGAAGTAATGGTAACCTAGCAGCCATTAGATAAAATTTAATTAAACAATAAAGGGCAAAAAAATTCATTATTCACATAATCTGAACTTATTGTAAAATATTTTTAAAAAATATGACTTCAGCAAATAGCCAAAAAAAAAGAAAAAAAGAAGAAGAAGAAGCAAATAGCATCAAACATATATGACTCGGTGACAACGAGCTAACTCGATTACAGATGGTCCTGATCGATCTAGCTGATCAGACCTTTAAAAAAAGGGTAAATTACACCTAGACCTCCTGATGTTAGGTCATAGGGATGGCAATAGGGCGGGTTTCCCTAAATCCCGCCCCGCCCATTTTAATTTTTGTCAAATCCATGCCCGTACTGAGACCCGCAACGGGTTGGATTTTCATGTCCAGCCCTGCCCCGTTGGGAAATACTGTGCCCCCGTACCCGGCCCGCTAACAATTTTTTTTCTCCCACCTTTTGGAACTTAAGCTCTTGCTATTTAAATGTGGAAAGCTTGGGAATAATACAACATAAATGAAATTATGTATCCCAACAAAAATAAAAAAAATAACATGCACATAACATAATTCAGATAATATAATAAACAAAAATAAAAGTTTAATACAACCAAATTACAAGAAATTCTAAGCTTCAACTTCCACCGTAACCAAAACAAAAGCAAATTTAATACCAAGTTTACATCTCAAATTAGGATTATAAGATATGGGTAACTGGATAAGCCACTAAAATAAGTTATTAATATTATATATATATATATATATATATATATATATATATATATATATATATATATTAAATATAGTTATATGCTTAGCGGGGCGAGGCCTCTAGGATATGTATACTGAACCCTTACCCGCCCCGTGAACCGCAACGGATACAAAATTTGTATCCATGCCCCCCCGAACAGTATAAAAAGTGTTCCCATATCCGTTATTAACGGGGTGGGACGGGACGGGGCCTCAGCGGGGCGGTAAAAATTGACATCCCTATTAGGTCATATTTCAACTAAATGAAGATTTTGGTTTTAACTTTCACTTACACCCCAATTTACTTTTTGACTTCTGATATATGTGAATTGATCATTTTACCCTCAATTTTTTAATACAATATATATATATATATATATATATATATATATATATGACAAAAAAAACCCATATATATATATATATATATATATATTCAACACCTATATATATATGTGTGTGTGGGTGTGTGTGTATATATATATATTCAACACCGGCTCCACCATTAACACCTCCATCACCACCAACGTCCCACCCTAACTCGTCCCTGCACCACCAACCCACCCAAAACCAAATTGCACCCCCACCCAACACCTCATCACCACCACCCACCTAAAATCAAACCCAAAAATACACAAAATCCCATCCCACCCACTGCCGAAATGGACGTCGATGACAGAATCGAAGGCGAAGTTGATTGTTGAAGACGACACTGAAGAGCAAGTTGATGTTGGCGGCAGGTGTCGGATTATAACCTCTACGGTAGCCTAATCAATATATCTCGTCAGCGAGATATCGGATTACAGGCTTACAGCCTCGATGGTGTCGTAATCGGCGGCAAAAAACCTCATCTCGTGCTCCGGCGGGAGGGTTTGTGAGAAGGGAGAAAATTAATATGAGGTAGCTACAGTCGCGTATCTGTGTGTGAGGGTTTGTGCGGAGAAAGGTAGCTACAGTCGCGGCGGCGGTGAAAGAGGTCGTGGTGGAGGTGGTCGCTATATATATATGCTTTTGCTGAATTTCTTGAAATTCCTTTCTTTGATTATTTATTTCTTTAAATTCCGCTGTCAAGTTTAAGGTTTAGGGCTTTTTAAGTTAATAGGTTTTAGATAGGTTCAATGAAAAACCAAAAATTACTAAAAAAATCTTTTATCTTACCTGTCAATTTATGTTCTAAATTAGATCAATTTATCTCTCCACCCTCTTCTAGTTTATACTTGCATATTTGCAGTATTGGATAATTTGATTGGTGTAGGATAGATCATTTAATCAATTTATGTTCCTTGTTTTGGTTCTAAATACCTCTAACCGAGAAAGCTAAATTTCATTGGAATCTTTGTTTTAAATTGCATTTCAATGTATCTAAGGAACATAAATCTTTGTTAGAGTTTTCGTTCTAAATAACCCTGCAACACTGCAAATTCTTTTCTTTCAATATAATTCCCATGTATTACAATTAAAACAATGAGATAGAACCAATTGAATGGGATGAGAGGAAATAAGAAATAACGACGACATAATGATGCATTTAATCCAGTAAACATGATTGAATTGATTTATATAGTCGACCACCTCCACCACCGCCGCATCACAGCTCCACAACCCACAGTCACATCCGACGCCGTCATCGCTGATTGCTCTGACTAGACGCCCGTCGTTGCTTTTTCGTCGCTTGGGAACACGCCGATATGAACTGGGTTTTGCTACTTGGAGCTAGCCGGAATTGATTTTTGTCTCGCCGGAACTGGGTCAGTTCAGTTCTAGCGTTTGTCGCCGGAGAAGAACTGGGTTTCGCTAAGCCTGTAATCCGAATTGAGTTTGGTTTCGCCGACTACAGTTGATTCCGATGGGAAGGTTTGTGTGTATTTGCATATCTGTGTGAGGCTCTGTGAGAAGGGAGAGAGAAAGGGGAAAAAGAGAGGTAGAGAGAGAGGAAGGTTCACAGAAAGGGGGGCGATGGGTAGTTTGGTCACAAAAATAATTAATTTGAGGTCAAAGGGTGGTGTAGTCTTTTAACAATTCATAAGTCCTAAAATTGATATTTGGAGTGTAAGTAAAATGTTAAACGACTAATTCATATACAAGTGAAATTTAAAACCAAAATATTTACGTAGGTGTAAAATGATCTAACCACAGAGGTCCAGGTGTAATTTACCCTTAAAAAAAAGACCTGGTGCTTGGCGCGTGAGTTGGGTGATCTTATCACATCAACCGTTGTAAGTCAATAACTACTGTCTATTAACGTTCCACAAATATCTCTCTCCTATGATTGCCACGTGAACATTTGCTTTTTGGGTATTTTTTTTGAAGGATACGAAAGGTTCTCTCTATACAACGCTACTAAGCCCGTGAACGACGTGTTCAGTCAGTGCTCTCGTAGGGAGTGAAGAGATAAGATCAGACTAGAGAGGTTCGTGTTCTCTCTGTTCTACAATTCCAACTATGATTTATATATATATAAATATATATATATCTATCTGAATTAACGTAGTAGCTTAATCGCTATTCTCTGCCTCCCTAAGGTGCCTACTGAAGCTGATTGATGTGAAATCGTGATCTGATTTTTGTTTCGTTTCGTCATTTCTAGCATGTTTTAGTTCTTACCATTTACAAGCTAAATGTGTACATCTTAATGCTATAATAGCAATTAATTGGATTGTGATCTGCTTTTTATAGTTTCTTTCTCTTATTATTTCTGTGATTCTAAATTAGAGAGGTGTATATGTGCATTCGACAACCTAAAATTTCCAATTATCTGATTTGCAGGTTTTGTGTGAATTATAAAGATTTAAATCAAATTTTCGAAGTTCTACTTTTTTTTTTTTTTTTTGAAAGACAAATAAATCTTAAAAATTTCTTTAGGACCATAAGTCCTACTTTTGAGAATATATATTTTTTCATTTAAGTTATAAATCACAAGAATTTCTAATCATAAATTTATTCCTGAATTGATATATAATCTATTTTTTCATATATTCCTTTAAATGAAAAAATAATATTGCTTTGTGAGTTCAAATGATAACTAATCTTTTTAAAATTCAATTAAAAAAAATCTTGTGTATTCTAATACAAAAAATAATTATTCTATAAAATAACATTTTATTTTTTTTCGTTTTATTCAAATTTTCTGTCGAATTTTGTAAGAGTATATATGAAAGCTTGAGTCTAAATTTTATATCTAATTTAGTAAGGGTATAAATGGAAGATTAAGTAAGTGACTTAAAGACTTAAATGGGAAAATATCTCAAGTTGGACTTAACGATCTTCCAATTTGAAAAGTAGGAGTTGGTGGTAATTTTCCCAATTTTCTTAGCATGTTTTATGTGAATGTAATATGGGTAGGATAGGGTATGTCGTAGTTCCTTGATCATGTCTGCTATGAGTTGTCTTTTTCACCAGCATATCCTGCCATGTTTTTCACTATATTTCAGCTATCTAATATGGCGGCCTCGTGACCGGACTAGCCCTTTTTAGGTCATAGAAATTAATCTAGAAGAGAGATTGCAACTTGAGATTGCTAGATGCACATGTACGCTTGCTAGTAATATTAGCGCTGTGTTCACGGTGTTAGGACCACTATCTTATAGAACCAATTTTATAGAATCGGTAGAATCGTGTAGAATCGTATGATTCTACCCCCGATTCTACCAATTGAGAGATTCTGCTGCGATTTGACTCGATTTTGAGCTCTAAGTCGTAGAATCGCACGATTCTATGACTCAGAATCGCAATTTTGATAACCATGTTTGCTAGTAATATTAGGGCTTTGTTCACGGTGTTAGGACCACTATCTAATAAGCTTAGCCACAAAAAACTGTCCATTGGGAGCTAAGGAGCTCATACCAAGATGCCGTCATCGGACAAGCCTTTTTGTCAGTTTTTTGTGTTCTTTTTTTCTGATAGGGGGAGGGGAAATGTGTTGAGGAATTGTAAGATTTTGGAAGAGGCTTGTAAATAAATAAAAATAAATATACAGGAGCCAATGGCCCTAAGAATTGATAACATAATAATGCGGAACCAAAGAGAGAGCATTGATGTGCACTTAAACTTGAAATATGTCATACTAAAGGAATGGCTTTTCAATATATCTTAAGCTTTTGTTTGGGATCTTTGATGATTCACTAGAATACTAGGACCTTAATATAATTGTATTACTTGATTTGTTAGTTCAAAATTTAATTGTTCTATGAGGTTTCTTATTCCTATCATTTTGCGAACAGACAGTCCCTTATGTTCATGTTCTTTTGAATTTCTATTAGTTTTGTTTGCTATCCATGTCAATTAATTGTTTATTAATAGATTTTATCCTTGTCATTGTGCTATTCTTTTTTTCAGTTCATTCCACCAAAATATGTTCATCCTCCATAATTTTCTACATCTATAAAATTATGGAAGATTCTAAAATTTAATTTCCGAATTTGTTCTCTGATTGCTATCTAATAGTGTGTATATTTGTACCACATTTTAAATGTTATAATATTCTCAATTTCTCATATTTTAAATAAATTTTAGCATCTTATAGTTTTTTCCTAAACTCATTCCATCTAGTAAATCTGTATAGATAATATATTGTCCAAAACTTTTTCAAATGTTTTTTATTACAAAAAAAAAAGAAGCAGCAGCTAATTGTAAGTTGAATTGTTGTTATTGTACTTATATAAAAAGAGAAATGTCATACAAATAAAAACTTTTCACCAAAAGGTTCTTCATAACACCCAATTGAACATTTTACACATGCATGTAACTAAAAATGAAATATTACTATATCTCCAAATCCAGTAATTGGCTAGTAAAATTGTGGTAATTTTCTATTCAAATATTTCAAAATCAAACTCAATCTCTCTCTTATTCTTATTCTTTTCTTTTTATATGATTTTTTTTTAATTATAAATAAAAATACACAACTCAACCAACATACCAAGTATGCCGTATAGTTTGTATAAAGAACTTAAACTCTCGACCTCATGTACAAGTAGTATAGGAACATCGTCAAAATTAACACAAGAAGGAACATTAATCCACGATGTTAGATCTCAGCTTCAATTACGATAGGATGTAATTCCAAGGATCATACAAATAAATAATCCTGCATAAATGCAAAGGTGTTGGTTACATTGAGCAGAAAAATATATATATAATTGGAAAGACAATTTATATATCACTCATTAATTCCACTAAAAATTCAATAGGGAATTAATTCCACTAAAATATCAATAATGAACTTTTTTTCTTCCCATTTACCACCGGAAAAAAATAATAATAATAAATGGTTTTTTCTTCCCTTTGCTTGACTGCTTGAGCAAGAACTTCAAAATACTTTAAAGCTTTCCTATCATAAAAAGAAAAGAAGTGATAGATCTTCCGATTTTAATTGCCGACTACTCCTCCGAATATAACGTGGTTGGGAATGAGTTGAATAGAAAAAGACGTTTACGGGAATTTTTTTAAGAGTTCCAATGAGATTCAATCACGTTATATTCGGAGGAGGAGTCGATAATTAACGTCGGAAGACCTATCATTTTTCTAAAAAGAAATATTGATAGTACTTCAAATAATTTTGTTTTCCCATAATAAAAAAAAATAAGAATTAAGTTCCTAATTTCACTATACAATTATACATTATTAGGTGCCATGCCATTTCCTAGCTAGTTGTAATTTAAGAAGCATGGATACAGATATGGAACTCAAACATGATACAACATAAATACGCTCTTTTTGATCTTAGGAATGAAAATGTGAATTGACACATCAAATTTTAAAAAATTAAGGTATAGACACGGCGTGGACATGACCAAAAGATGATGGGTTTCCAAATTAGGTGATGGATTCTCTCATATTTCTTTATGGATCTGAATCATCTCATAAGACACTGGCACAATACATTATCTGACCTACAAGTTATACAATTTCGTATGAGAGATATAAAAGTGAAGTGCTTATATGTGTATGTGTATATATATATATATATATTAATGCTATTTCGTAATTACGGCTCTATTAATTTAGGTTATGTACTATATATAAATATGTATCTTCTTTTTGAGTTTATCAGTATTAATGTTTAAATCATACAATGTTTGATAATAATGAAAAAGAAGAACGTAATTGTTAAATGTACCTGCTATAGTGCCCGAAAAAGACCATGTTCCTCTAGACGACGATGAATGGACTGCACATTTTACAAAATGTAATTCATTATTAACTATGGAACAACAAGATTAATTAAACCAAAAACAAAGTAATAGAGAAAATAATCTACATATAACATATCCCAAATATATATATATATATATATATATATATATATATATATATTTATATATCAAATAAAATCTATAAATATGACAAAAACTAGGAAAGTAAAGTTTGAAGAGGAGCTATTAGGCTATAAAAATGGGTAGCTACAATTGGGCCGGAGGCCCATATCGAACTTCTCTTAAGAATCTGTACATTTTATTAGCCCAATGTTATTACAACACGGACTGCTCTGCTTTGGCCCAAGAACCAAATTGACTGATCATTTACTATAAAAAGCAGTGATACTTAGGCGGAACTATCAAAGAGAATTGTTTAATCGAACATCATCATCAAGTTTGTAATATACAAGGAAGTGAGTATCCACTTCTTTATATTTTGCATACAAAACGAATCAAAACTTTTCGGTCTAACAATTCACTGAAACTTATAAAAGCATTTTCCTACTATAAAATTATAACATAATTAAGATCTATCAAACAAGCTTGATTTATTTTATCACCTGAATCACAATTTGATGTAGAATTCCAGTTCCCACACATGCACATCTCATTGATCCCATCAATGTCATACCCACACGAGCCACCGGTGGCCTCGCACGCTCGACAGAACTCATGATTTCCTTGCACGGAGTAGCTGACACGTATCCCGTACGACCACCGGCCTGGCCCACTAGCCCGGAGAGGTGCAACACTGTATGCACTACTATAACCCTGGCACTCAAGCTTGCTAAGGTTTATAGCTTTGATGGCTTCAAATGGTACTGCACAGCACATAGGTGGGCCTGGGCCATACACTGGGCCCACCCTCTTGGGCCCAATTACGTTCCATGCTGGGCATCCATAGTACTCCTCACAGCCCATACCTGAAACATTTCTACATGGCAAGTGCTTCCCTGGAAACCCTTGAAACAGTGAAGACTGAGCTGAGCAGCCTATTAGCATGAACACATTGTCGCCGGTAGGGTTCAGGTACGGCGCGCGCCACTGTTCCACCGCGAACCCGTTGCCACGGCCTCCCAGAACAATCGAGTCACATGTTGACATATGAGGGTCGTGTAACGTAACAGCTTCATAAGCATAATCTATGTCCAAAACCCGGTATGATCCGGAGGTTATATGGAACATGAGAACATCATTGATGCAAAACAAGAGATCACGAAAGCCGGGATGGCCACAGCCGGATCGGAGGGCAAATGGGTAGTCAATGGTGATGTTTCCACAGTAGGACCGGCACGCGTTGGCATGGGTGCCATTGCTATGAGCCAGTGGAAGTAGTAGTAATGCTTGAAATAGTATGGAGAGAGTGGTGAATAGTAGTAGATGAGCCATGGATGTGTGAATGAGAGTGGAGAGAGAATTTGTTGGAAAATAAGTAATGATACTTTGCTTGGATGTCGAGGAAGTGTTTAGTGTTGTGGGACTTTATTCACATGTTGTGTTGTGGAATCCAATTGAACTGTTTTAGGGTTTTCCTTTTCTTTTTTGGAAGGGAATTATTTGTTTCAAGAATGGAGATGACTTTAAGAGGTAATGTGGTTTACTTTAGTATGCTTTTTGGTATTGCAGGGCAATAAATATATATATATATATATATATATATATATATATATATAGCAGGGATATGATGCTGTTGGGTTGCTTTTTAGTCAAGTAACATGTATACATTGATCTCTATGGTAGTGGCCCTAGTTCAGTAGGTCAAACTTGTGCATTTGAAATTTGGAATTAAAATCACTGCAGATAGGAAATCATTTTGTGGTCCAAGCTACTGGAAATAGAATGCTCTCTCTCTGCTCTCTCTCTCTCTCTCCGCATGCGTATTATTACTAAACTAATTATGCTTTGTTATATAGTGACCAAGATCACTAATCATACTTCTTATTTATCCATTGAAAAAGTAATTGTGATGATGCGACTCGAATTTGGTATCGGTCACAATGTGACTCGTTTATAATCCGACGACCCGTTGAAAAGATTTTGACCTATTTTTTGCTCATGGGTTGTAACATCCTAATTAGTCTCTTGCAGCCTAATATATAATGATGTTTAGGGTTTGGAGTGATGCAAGAGAGAGACTGAAATTCGTTCGTACAGAAACAGAATAAGGAACTAAAAACTTGTAATATCCGATTTGACACGTAGTAAAAACTTTCACCGGATCCCGACCGTAGACGCAAGTTCTTTGTATAAATTTTTGTGTTCTTTGCATATGGTGTTTACTTTTATGTCGTGATTCTTAATTCAACATGGGTGTGATTCTTGATTCAACTTGGGCTCGATGCATTTATTTATCATAACAATAATAAAAGTGATCAATAAACTTCCATTTTAGGGTTATGATCTAGCTCAGGAATTCTATGGAATTGGTCGAACCAACCAGAAGAGAAATCTTCATAAATTCACCCTCAAATTTTTGTATTTTTATTTTAATTTCTTCAGAAAGGACTTGGTATATGAACTGTGACTCAAATAAATAAACGAAGTTACAGCTTCCTCTACTGATTAATACAAGAGACAAAAAGAAAAATAAATAAATAAAGGAAAATGTGAACAAACTGTTTGAATTTCGAAGAATATAACACATTAAACTATCGATCAAAATTACTCGCGCCAAGGATATAAATATACAAGGAAAAGCCAGAAATCACTGCCATGAAAAAATTCAACATCAAGCTCCAATTAAGTGATCTTCAGGTTTTCCTTAACCCCAATTCAGACCAATCAAAGGACTATTAACGGTCGTCATGGCGTCGCTAGGAGAAACAACCCCCAAGGCAGTCCCAAAACTTCAACCATGGTCCAACCAAAATTATAAGGAGCTCCTCATAAAAATTGAAATCGACTCTGGAACTCCTCAATCTTCCTTGCCTGTAGTTCCATGAAAAAAAATGACCCGACGCATTTGGTATCTGATTAGTTTCAAAAAAAGAATTGGTCTAAATGGTTAGAGAGAATAGAGTAGTCACCATTAATGTGATCGGGCAATGTGCTTTCTCGTGCCTTCTTTGCACCCCTTTTCACTGCCTCGGCTGTAAAAATCATGTTGTCCAAAATTAAAGGCAAAAGCGAAACAGGTGATGAAACTTTACAAGCATGGAAGGCACTTCTACAAAAGAAATGCACTTTAATCCCACAATGAACTAACTGATGCAGTAAGCAAAGTTCTAACGTTACGGGATGATTATCGGGCATTTGATTTTAATTGAAAGGATACAGGACAGCCCAACCATAAATATCTTGAGTTGTGTTCATTTGAAAGCACAGCTTGTTAGGTAAATGCATTGTGGGAAACCAGGTTACCTATATCAACGAGTTTTATCATCTTATGCTGGTGTGGATCGAGAATTATAGGAAGCTACATCAAAACCCTAGTACAAGATATATAATTCAAGGACAAAGCAAATACAGCTTTGAGAATGTTCACGTCATGCGAAATGGATTAGTAGACCATAATCAACCATGCTTTTAGATCAGTGAATTGAGATGGAACTAGTTTTGACACACACACACATATATATATATACACATTTTTTCCCTAGTTGAAAGTCACGAACCCATTATGTCCATATTTGGACTTGAACTCCCGACCTTCTACTTTGGAAGGTAAGGAAGTACCACTATGCTAACTAGTTTTGAATTTTAAAGGGCACTTCCTTAGAAACTTTAAACTATGCACTTTCTTCCACTAAAAAAATGTCTGCCAGCCTTGCCAGGTTTATAATTAAGTGGCTCAGTTCTAAAGTTTATCGGATTGACTATAAACTCACTCCATAAAGCAAACCTCTAACCCTATATGGTTGTAGCAGCTACAATGTGCTCCAAAATGTGTCCTAACACCACCATAGATTTATGTGGCCCTAGGCTATTTGTGAACCTTACCTTTTCCTGAACTCTATAGCATGGGGTTTGGTAATCTTACCTTTAAATTTTCTTTTCTTGTTCGCTCTCCTCCTCTTCCTCTCTTCTTGCGTCAGCTCTACTTCTTCTTTAACATCTCCTTTTCCACCAAACACTTCTTCAGGAGCCAACATAGCTGCATCTGAGACTGCCACCGGTGCAATCTACCCGTGGAAGACAAATTATAGATGTTACTAATTAACTGTGAATTAGACCTGGTATCACCAGATTAATATTCAAAAGGAAATGAAATTTTCGGAAGGAAAATTAATGAGAATTGGTTACCTCTTCCATTGCCAGAGCAGGGACATTTGTTTGAATAGACATATCTTCTATGACCTGTCCAAGGTGAATCATTACAGAGAAGTACAAAGAATTCCTAGAAAGCCCGTGCATATATTATCAAATGTCAATAAATAAATTGTATAATAGTAATTGAGAAGCATACTGGTTTTGGAGTGAAGTGGAAATGAGATAGAGCATCCAACTTCAAGCACAGTTTCTTGAACAGCACACTTGCCTGAGCAAAATTATAGAACAGAAAGGAAACTCACTTGAAAGTAAAATATAAAAGCAAGACCATATATAACAGAAAGGAAACAACAAAAGATACATTAAATAAATAGATTGTGACTATGTTATTCGTTATCAACCGCATCTGGAAGAAGAATACTACTAAACTATGTTGGTATAGGTAAGAGTGAGAAAGGGGGATTTGGGGTATAAAGCCTCTGATGGTTGAAATTTCCATCTTAGAGCTCATGTAATAAGCATCCATACAATCCACCAGCAAATATATATATATATATATATATTTATTTCAACCACATTTAAAGATATTACAACTAAATCAAGTGGGAAAAAGAAATTATAGTAACTTAGAATAAAAGTAATCATAAGTTCACCTCTTTCTTTTGTTCATCCGAGAAAGACAATGCTGCCGAAACAAGGCCAGTTTTCTGAACATATTCGTCCTGCAATAATGAAAAAGGAATAATTTGATAATCCTTGCCAGTCAAAACTAATTGAAGAAGCAACAGGCATCAATGGTCCAGACGACTTCATAAGATAAACTATAGACAAGGACTCAGTCTACACCTTTAAAAGGAAGATGAAAAAAAGAATAGGAAAAAAATTGATAAACAAATTTCTGTATCTCCTATGCTAAACGAATTTAGGAAATCCAGACCTCATAAATTTCAGCAAGTCCCTTCTTGCTCTTATTCTCGTCCTGAAAAATATAAAAAGAGTGCATCTTAATTATGTCACTACCTTCAAATCAGATATTATAAAAGAAACAAAGACCTAAAGAAAAAACTTATTTTGGAGAACCAATATTTACCAATTCCTTAAGTTCTTTTGGTGATCTAGATGGCAAACTACGAGCCTTCTGAACATCATCAAAACGGCCCTAAAAACAATATACCATAATAATTGATAATTAGTAATTTAGAGAGAGAGAGAGAGAGAGAATAATGCAATATTCAATCCTTTATCATGAAGAAACTGTGACACAGGAAAGCAAGCATAAAAAATAATAAAAGGTAACATGAATTTGGTACTAAAACTGAAAAATGTGCAAACTAAAAATACAATTTAGAAAACATAATGAATTTTATTAGAACTCAAGAAATTTGCCATTTCTATTAAAGAAAACATTGTTCATCATGATATAATGAAGAACTTCATTTTTACAGCAAAGGATTCAGCTTTTCCGCTCCATAACGAATAAATAAATAATAACATCTTCTAGCTATAAACTGCCCTTTGAAAAAGCATATGCAAACAAATAACCTTCCTCCAATCAACGATGAAATCGCCAATTCACCAGTAAATGACAATGCTCCAATATTCTAGAGAAGCGGTATCAATAAACCAGAAAATGATCAAAGCACTGAACAAACTGGGTCCTGTCCTTAACATATAGACTATATGCAATAAAATAAACAAATCCAGAAAGTGTCTGCCTTACAGTTTGCAGCAGACACTGCAATTATCATGTTCTCAGCTTTCTTTTTGTTTTGTTCCGTTTGTAGCTACCCCAGTAGAACCCCCACCTCCCCAAACACGAACACACAAGAAAAAAGATCCGAACCAGAATACTCTTTCATCCACTGGATAGTGAAAAACATATGGGTTGGATTCAACACAATCTAAACGACTCTAAACAAAGAAAATAATGAAGTATGAAACTATAACATGATTTATGATTTCATCGCAAGTATTAATATAGGAACATTTACAAGTAACACACATCCAATAAAATGTTCGTGTGTAACATCACCTTCTGAAATTCACACTTTCATTTGTCAATTTGAATTCAGCAAAACTAGTCATTTTATCTATTGATATATTTTCAAGAAACCAAAAACATATAAAGTGCAGTTCTACAATATACAGTTCATTATTAGAGATAAGAATACGTATCTGCTGATATAGCATCATTTGAGAAGAAATGCATAATTATAATACTTTGGGAAAGAAAAGCATAATTCTAATAACTTGATATTTAACATTTTCATAGTATATATATATAGAAATGAGTCATTTCTATGATTGCTAGGCACCACAACTTATGAGTCCAGATTCCAGATACATCAACACCATATGAATTAAGAAACAAACATTACTTTTAAATTAAGTAGATGGTAACCAATACTACAAGGTTCCTAAAACAGAGAGATAAACTTAAGGCAGCACTGGTAGAATAGAATGATTTATGATTTATCAAACAATTGAACTTTTGAACAAAAAAGTAGCCACTAAGGAAAAGGGGGAGAGGGGAACTAAAAAGGAAAATTGTCTTGACATAACAGAATTTCAAATTTTCAATTAAAAGAATGAAGCTCACCTCAAGTATCCGTTTCTGAATTAACTCCTCAATGGATACAGTCACCTCTTCTGTAATTACAGGGGCAGGTCTCACATTGTGTTCAAAATCTAGATCAACTTCTAATGCACTATTTTTAGGCCTTCTAGCAGCAGTTACCTACCATCAAAACTCTTAGTAATTAGAATATATAATTCAAGTTCATAGTGTAGAACATTACAGAATCCATATCCAGGGACACAATAGATTTGATCCAAAATCAGTTTGATATCAAATTCAGAATCTTGAAATGTCACCTCCCCCTGCATAGTCCACGTTTTTGGTTCCATGTTTGCTTTTTCCATTTGCTCAATCTTAGATTGAAGCTTCCCGAGCTGTTTTTCATGAGTAGAGATATTTTCTTTTTTCTGTGAAAAGGGAGAATCAAACAACAGGCACCTCAATCAATAATTGTGCTTGTAAAGAAATACATTTTATCAGTATTTAACAGAGGGCAGATATGCTCATTAGAAGCAAGTACAGCGTATAGAAATATCTCATATGGTACAATACCTGATCGCTGAAAGCCTTGTCATTCTCTTGTTCATCACCCAAGTCCGAGTCATCTGATTCATTATCCGATTTGGACTTTCTTTTCTGAACATTTTTCTTTTTAGCACCAAAGAAGTCCTCATATCTGAATGTTGCAGAAACACAGGTGAGGCCCCAAAGGGGGGGGAGAGAGAGAAAAGAAAAAAGAAGGGGGGTGTGTGTGTGTGTGTTGTGTGTGTTGGGGGGGGGGGGGGGGGGGGGGCGGGTTGGGCGGAGGACACACTGAGTAAATGCTTTAAGTGGAGTTGTAGATTTCATGGAACCAGAGGCCAACCAACTAATGATGGATTTTTGGATTACAACCAAATTGATAGGAGGGCTAAGAAAGTTCAAAACGCCAGTTTCCGGAACTGGAAGCTTCTGGGTCATTTATTGGTGATAAAAACCTCGGCCTCAATGGTACGACTATGATGTTTCTGAAGAGATGTTGGAGAATGGCTAGGGAGGATGTGATCAACAGCTTTCTCCATTTAGATGAATTGAGAGAGCTTGAATGCAAGTTATAACTTTCATTACTTTGATCCAAAAAAAGGCGGGACATAGGATTCAAGGATTATAGACCAATTAGTCTTTTTGGATGTATTTACAAGCAGCAGTCTAGTATCAGACCCTCCCCATAGGAACCTCTTGATCTTTCTCTCAAGTAAATTAGAAAGACTTGCGGGTAACTTAAAAGCAGTGCACCAGTACATGATAATAGGATAAATTAGTGATCTAAACAGCGCTGCCCTCCCAGTCATGGAAAGCTTTAGGTTACACCAAGAGGAAAGCCTAGCACTGACCTTATCTAACAAATCTGAGCAGGAAAAGAAGTTCAAACCAGAAGTATTTAGAGGGATACCCAGGTATATAATAGGAAACTTTCCCACTTTGAACTGCAGGATTCTAAGTAAACTATGTTTCCTCCTCAGACTTAGAAAATAAGGCAATGGACTTTGCAAGACTAGCATTCAAACCGGACACCCCAGCAAATTCATCCAGAATTCTTCTAATGGTAATAGCAGATCTCACATCAGCATTTGCCACCATAAGCAAATCTCTTAGGAAAAGTTCCATAATTGCCAAACCTCTATTACCAACATAATTTTTAAATAAAAAAGTGGATCCAGCGCGTCAGAAAATCGTAAATTCATAGGCGCCCGACCTTTGTACTATTTAACAGTCTCTATCAAGCAACTGGCCACGAAAGGAAGAAAAAACAGTTACTAGTCCACAAGGATCGACGTAACGAGTGGCAGAAAGCTCGTCTCAAACAAGCGAGAGTGGCACAGGCCTACACTTTTACGGCATATATCTAAAGCAGGGAGACATTAGAAAGCTTAGACAGAGAGCTCTGAGTCGACCCTTCATATAATAAGCTGAAGTTCATTCCTCCAACACTCAAGGTTGGATTGAAGGACTTTGTACAAGGGCCGTGAAAGTGAAGAAAGGATCTCTTTTTGAGTGGAAATTGGTGTCGGAGCCTTTCACTCACCCTGTGTCTCTTAGAAAGAAACTTCCTTTTTCTATCCTAATGACCATGCAGCACCCACTGGTTATGGTTTCAAGTCAATAGCAGACCTATCCAATGGTACCCACTATCTAAGGCTACAAAAAATATAGATTCTTGAAATTAAATTCAAAAATAGATAACTTATAACACCAGGTTTTTTAATACAGGTAATCTGTTTTTTATCGTGCATTACTTGAAGATTGCTTTTGCAACTACAGATGATTTAAGCAACTAAAGAATCTACATGAGATTAACAAAGACAAGAAAAAGATAGAACTGAAAATTTTTAAAAAGGAAAAGGCAGCACCTGGCTTTTCCCAACTTGTTTGCTCCTCCATCGTCATCACTGTCATCATCTTCAAAAACTCCAAGCTACAAAAGCAAAGCTTGAATCATAAGAAACCAAAAGAGTACGAAAAAAAAAACATGAATCTTGTAAAAACAATCAGACATAATATCATAACAACTGAAAATACTTAGAAGATCATGCAATTTCACATTGCACAAAGAAATCAATTACAATACGCAAGATAGTCGTCTCAAACCACAAAAATCGATCAAACAAACAAAAACTAAGCTGGAAGACATTCTCACCTCATTGTCTTCCTCCTCTTCATCGTCATCATCCTCTAGTTCATCATCTTCCCCGTTCTCTTCCTCGCCCTCACTGGACACTTTACCATAACCTTTTCTCTTCTTTAAACCGTACTCTCTGGCCTCGTCGTCTTCCAAATACTCCTCCAATTCCTTGATTTTCAGAAACTTGTCTTCAAGTCCGCCGCTTTTACCTTCCTCCTCAACCTCTTCCTCCTCCACGACCTCCTCTTCCTCTTCCTCATCCTCATCATCTTCATCTTCATCAAACCCTTCCAATTCCTCATCTTCCGCTCCATTCATCACCTCTAAATCCTCGCTTTCTGTCTCTAAACCCTCACTCTTTTCAACACCAACTCCACCAAATTGCTTCGAGATTTCTTCCGGATTCTTCTCAAACTTCCTTAGCTCCCGGCGGAGGCCGGAAATCAATGGCTGAGATTGGAGGTCGATCTGCTGCCAGATTTGCTCGGCGTCGAAGCCATCAATCAAGAGGCGATCGAAAGGGGATTTGGGAGCAAATGGTCTGAGAGATGAGAATATGTGCTGAGACGCCGTGCGAGCGGCTTGAGAGAGGTCCGGTGATGGCGAGAGGTAGAGCGGCGGTTCTGTTGATTTCAGACGGTGAAGGGCTTCGAGACCTCCGACTTGGTTAGAGATCGCCGCCATGGCCGAGACGGAGACGGAGACGGAGACGGAGACGGAGACGGAGAGAGTGTACACGAGAAGGTGCTCTGTTTGTTTCTGGGTTTGTTGACGGGTACAATCAATAATAATAAGGGTTTAGGGTTTTAGGATTGTGAATGGTCGTCAAGTCAGCAGCAACCTTGGTCGTTAGTTTAGATTTTGGATTGTGGTCTTGGAAAGAGTCGCGATTATTTGATTTGGGGACAATGGGGTAAAATGCTGAGTTTAAGTTAATTGATAAGAGTGGGAATGCCTTTCTGGACCTGTGGTTGGGTTGTTAGTAGATGTTTTCGACTAAGTTAGGTAAAACAATAATAAAAATAGTAGAATTAAGTCATAAACAGTGAAAATTTAAGTGAGAGTACATGAAAACGTGAGATCGACACGAGAAGAATTATGTGACTCTTTGGTTGCTATAAGTTATTTTTGGGAGTTCAAATTCTAGCCTTCGCATCTCTAATTTTTAACATAACATATTCCTATGTTGTGAAGCTAAAATAAATGTTCAGTTAGTATATTTTCTTAATCAACATTTCAAGCGATGAGATAATCAGTAAAATAGAAAATTTTGATTCATTTAGGTCCGTTGGACAATTACAATTGTTTTGCACTTTTATTTTAACCCGAAATAAAAGAAATATTTTTAGTGTTTAATTTATTTGGCAAAGAAACGTTGCAAGTTTAAAAAACTAAATGGCTAGTTGAAAATGACATTTTAGAGTTTTTCTTTTTTTCCGTGTTTTTGCTACATTGTGGAAGCAATCAAAAGCATTAATTTTTCGCTTCGGATTTTGACATCTTTTTCGAAATCAATCAAGTACTACTCAAATTGCAACAAACGTTACAAAAAATGATTCGTGTTGTTATTTCGTTACAATACACTATCATAAGCAAAAAAGTACAAAACAAAAATAGTTGCCAAACCGTTCCTTTTCAATTGACAACAGTGATTGGCTGTCGCGACTGTGCAACAACAGCCCCTCTGGCACTTCTCTTAATAAATTTATGGGCTTTGCTAATCACAGTCGCCTTGCGCGATTGTGGCTTTACAGTCGTTTGTCCTATTAGTATAGGAATCAGATCTCATTAAATACATTAAATGCATTAATTATTTAAGTTTCTATTTTAGTGGAACTCTACAAACATTACTTTTTTAGACAAATATACTCTTTTAAATTATGTAACATTATGTAACATTTCTTCTTCTCTTCCATTTTAATCTATCCATATAAAAATGCGTGCGCGTGTGTGTGTATATCCATATGGGAATGTGTGCGTGTGTGTATGTGTATATATATATATAATAACTACGTTATGTGAATGAATTCTGAAAAAGGGAAAAAACTATAGTTAGGATAATCCATTCTCAAGATATGGATTCTAAAGAAAAAAAAGAGTTAGAACAAAATCCGAAAAGAAAAAATAATAATAAAAAATAAAAGAGAACGAGAAAAAAATTCATATACAAGATAGATTCTGAGATTTTTAAAAAATACAAAATTAGTTTTATATATATATACACACACGTGTATATTTCTTTTTATTTTTTATTTTTACAACTATCCTTCTTTAAATGAATTTTTTTAAAAAAACAAACAATTCATTCACCAAGATAGTTGTAAAATGAAATATACACGTGTGTGTGTATATATATATATTTATATATGTATAACACGCACACATTTCCATATGGATAGATTAAAAGGGGAGAGAAGAAGAAAAATTAGATAACTTAAAAGGGTATATTTGTTTAAAAAAGTAATGTTTATAAAGTTCCACTAAAATAGACATTTAAGTAATTAATGCATTTAATAGGATCTGATTCCCATACTAATAAGACAAACGACCGTAAAGCCACAATCGCGTAAGGTGACTGTGATTAGCAAAGCCCTAAATTTATTAGCTTGATGTACTCCCTCTATCCCAATTTAAGTGTCGTCACTAGGAACTGTGACTTACAAAATTGTGAATCATAAATCTCAATGACGACACTTAAATTGGGACGAAGGGAGTATAAATTTTCTCTCCACAAAGAGAATCTTAATTGTTCAAATTCAAGGGCAAAATATGTGATGACCTTGTGAGCGGATGTGTCGTGGGCGGGTGCGAGAGACACTGACAGGCTACCACATTGGCGAGCTACGGGTGCACAGTCCCACATCACCTGGGTAGAGGAAAGGTGAAGTGCTTATATGTAAGTGTGTCACCTCCAATTGGTACGAAGCCTTTTGGGGTGAAGCCCAAGAGCAAAACCGTGCGGGCTCAGGCCCAAAGCGGACAATATCATACCATGTGGTGGAGTGGGTCGTTACAAATGGTATCAGAGCCTGACCCAGCCGGAAGTGTGCCGACGAGGATGTCAGGCCTCCAAGGGGGGTGGATTGTGATGACCTTGTGGGCGGGTGTGTCGTGGGCGGGTGCGAGAGACACTGACAGGCTACCACATTGGCGAGCTACGGGTGCGCAGTCCCACATCGCCTGGGTAGAGGAAAGGTGAAGTGCTTATATGTAAGTGTGTCACCTCCAATTGGTACGAGGCCTTTTGGGGTGAAGCCCAAGAGCAAAACCGTGCGGGGTCAGGCCCAAAACGAACAATATCATACCATGTGGTGGAGTGGGTCGTTACAAAATATGAATCAGTGTATATGTGTTTGTTTTACCATTAAAAAAAAATAAACAAAACAATTAAAGATTCCAAGTGTTCGGGTAAATGAGGAATATTTAGGAATTGTCATTAAGAATATTGCTTTTTACATCTTTGTTGAAAATAATAAACAAAACAATTAAAGATTCCAAGTGTTCGGGTAAATGAGGAATATTTAGGAATTGTCATTAAGAATATTGCTTTTTACATCTTTGTTGAAAATCAATGCCTTCTTCGGTTACACAAGTGTGTTTGTTTTGTAGCTCTCAAAACAATTTTCAAAAATTCATATAGTAGCAAGGCTGAACATTTCAATATAGCAAAGTTTTCAAAAAATCGTTTTCAAAACTCTAAACTAAACAGAATTTTTGTACAGCTTTACATTTTCAAAAAATTAAAAACATAAAGCTGTTTACAAAATTACAAACCAAGCATTTACTACCTATTTTGGATTCTTAGCTTTCTTATGTGCCAGGAATAACAAAATAAGAATAATAATAAATAATAAATTTTAAAAATAATAAAATTGACTTTTGAAATGAGTTCTCTATTGAAAACTAACCATTAAATAACCTATACTACATAAAAATTTAAAAAACTAAAATAACTTTTGGATGAGTCGTGTAATTGGAAATTAACTACTAAAATAACTAAATTATATTAAGATTAAAAAAAATATATATATAACCATATGTATAGCATTAAATAAGATGAAAAAAATAAAACAACATAAAAATGCATCATGAAAACCTTTACGCATAGCAAAACTTGAAACAAATATATTGAAACCATTACCTAGTGTCAATCTCAATCTCACCTGCTTCAAATGCTGGTAGCAAAGGGTTGAAGTTTCTCAACCTGAATTTTTACATTAAGCTGCGTTTATTTTGGTGTAAAATATATTTTTTATATATATTTTCTGGCATTTGATTGTCGTAAAATATTTACAAAGAAAAAAAAAATTAAAACCTAACAAAAATAACTTAGTCATCAATCTTCGGCAAATTATTTTACATGTCCCGCCCAATGGGTTTGACCTTAATCTCGACTTAACACCGAAAAATAAAAATATTTTACTTCCAAAAAAAAAATCTTTTTCGAATAAAATATTTTACATAGAGCCTAAATAATGGTTGCAAACTCGGATACAGACACACAAAAACATATACATATTGTTGAAAATACACCATAATTATTGTAAATATAAGAAATAATATATAATCTAAGGTAAAAGAGAACTGCAAACAAGGAAGAGAGAGAAATCTACTATGATTTAATTCTTTTCATTTAAGTGTATCAATACAATACAGCATTACCCCTATTTATAGGGGATGAAACCGACTATAGCCGTCATATGCACCAATAGTTTTAAGTTCCTTCTTCTCTCCAGTAATCGGCACCATCATTACAATTGATCAAATTGTTTCACAATTCACAACCTCAATGCATGTATTGACATTTGCATTAAAGATTATGGAGCCCACAGGTATTATAACACTTCCCCTTAGGGTCCACAATGCTACACTAAGAATATGCCTCGTTAAAACCTTGTCAGAAAAACTCATTGGGACAAAACCTGAGCGAAGGAAAAAGAGTACAATATTCTTGTGTGTCTAGAAAAAGTATTGCATGGTTTAGAACTGCCTCATTAAAACCTTACCGGGAAAACCCATTGGGACAAAACCTGAGTGAAGGAAAAAGAGTACAGTAAATGTCAATACCTTTTTAAGTTCTCCCCCTCATCAATGCCAAAGATTTTTAAGTTATCGCATCCCAATGTTATGTACCAATTTCTTGAACGTTGTGGTTGGGAGTGCCTTAGTGAACAGGTCTGCTAAATTTTCACATGAACGTATTTGTTGAATATCAATTTCACCATTCTTTTGGCGTTCATGTGTGAAAAATAATTTTGGTGAGATGTGTTTGGTCCTGTCACTTTTGATATAACCCTCTTTCATCTGTGCAATGCTTGCGGCATTATCTTTATATAATATTGTGGGGATATTTGTTATTGATGAGAGGTCACATGTTATTCTAATGTGTTGGATTATGGATTGCAAATAAATGCATTCCCTGCTTGCATCATGAATTGCGAGTATCTCAGAATGATTTGAGGAAGTGGTAATCATTGTCTGTTCCATAGAGTGCCATAAGATAGCAGTGCCACCACAAGTAAACACATACCCTGTTTGTGATCAAGCTTGATGTGGATCAGGGAGATACCCGGCATCTGCATATCCAATTAACTGGGATTTAGATTCTTTTGAATAAAATAATCTCATATCAATTATTTCATGAAGATATCGTAATATATGTTTAACTCTATTACAATGTCTACGAGTTGGTGTAGAACTGTATCTTACTAATAAGTTGACTGAAAAAGCAATGTCAGGTCGTGTGCAATTTGCAAGATACATAAGAGCACCAATTGCACTAAGATATGGTACTTCCGGACCAAGAAGTTCCTCATCATTTTCTGGAGGTCGAAAAGGATCTTTTTTAACATTAAATGATCGGACACTATTGGTGAGCTCAATGGATGGGCTTTATCTATAT